ACAAGTTTTGGGATTGAAATGAGGTGAGATTGAAACTGAGGCACATAGAGAACATGGTGAAGAGTTAAAGTTCCTATGTTGTAGTACCAGAATAATGAGTTGCAACAAAAGAGCCATTTAGAAGATTAATATGAATGGGCATAATTGGAGTTAAGAATGAGAAAAGGGTTTTTGATTTACAAATATGGTCAGTAGCACCACTATCCATGATCCACTACCCACTATCCATGGAGTTAAGAATTCAGAGAGTTACCAGGAAGAATTAAGGGAGTGGTGTTAGTCTGATTGACATAATGAGAAGCAACTTGCAAGTCAGTTTGCCGAAGAAGAGCCATGATTCCCTGATATTGCTCCTCGGAAAAAGTATAATGGTCTTGAGGTAGATTAACTGGAGAGCATTGTGACTATGAGCTTTCATTGGAGTCAATAGAAGCCAAGTTAGCAGAAGAGCTGTTGGAATTGGTATTGTATTTGGACTTATATCCAGGAGGATATCCATAGATCTGAAAACAAGTATCTCTGGTATGATTTGTTCTTCCACATAGATCACAAAAATGGTTTCCCCTGCATGCCTCTTCATGTGGAAGAATTTCTTCCACCACCACAATTGTTTGAAGAATTGCCACGATAAGTAGATAAATTTCCTTGATTAGATGAATTATGTTTAGCCTGATTTTGAGTTGAAACATTGAATGAAGTGGCAGTAATTGTGTTGAGAGGAAGTGAGGATCCAAACTCTCTTTCTTGTTGTAAAATCAGAGAAAATACTCTAGTTATTGTAGGAGCTGGATTGATCAGCATGATCTGAGATCTAGTTTGAGCAAATTCATCATTTATGCCACGTAGGAACTTGATAATGTTTTCATCTTCTCTTTCTTTGGCGATTTTCTTAACAACTCCACAAGAGCAGGGTGTTGAGCACTTACAGACTAGAGGAGTTCAAAATTGTCCCAATTCTTTCCATAATGTCAGTAATTTTGTAAGGTATTAAGTAACAGAAGATGAACCTTGACGAACTTGTTGAATTTCATGGGAGAATCTGTCAGATAGATCAGTCCAAATCTATGCAGCTGTGTCGAAATATATGACTGTAACACCCCGACCCCGCAGGACCCTAGGTAGTTACTCCTACACACCCTCCAGACCTCTAGTACTGTCCCCACAAACCACCACGAGCCTTTACCGCGCACTTTGTCCCTCACTCATGCGCGCCCTGAGAAACTTCCCAGGGGGTCACCCATCCCAAGACTACTCCTGTGCAAGCACGCTTAACTTTGGAGTTCTTGGGTGATGAGCTCCCTTAAAAGAAGATGCACCTCTGTTGGTATGAGTAGTACTATTAATCCATTTATATTAAATCTCAAGTGTTACAATGACAGATTCTGCAATTGAGGGAGTCATTGATCTCATCAACCAAGCCATAATCATGTGATTGCATCTTCTCCATGGTTCATGCAATGGATCGTTGACAGGAGGTGAAGGATATGAACCATCAACAAACTTGTCTTTGTTTTTGGATTCTAATGAAGCCATGAATGGAAGTTCTTCTCGGTGAAAAGAACTAGAACAAGAACTAGTGTAGGATTTTCATTAGGATGAATAAAAGGTGGATTGGATTGATTGATTAGGTGATCTGCAGTGGAATCGAGGTTGGGCCCTTAAGTCGCCTTATCAATGATTCCACGATCTAAGGATGTCGAGGTCGGGATCGGTAATTTCCCGACCTCTGGGGAGGTCGAGGTCGGGTTCTCAGTTTGTCTTATCTATACGATTTCCGAGCTCGGTATTTTCTGACCTCAAGGTCAAGGCCGGACTATGCCAAAAGGCTGGCACTTAACTATTCCGTGAAGTCCTTTTGATACCTAGGAGTATGTAAGGACGAACATTGCATACAGATTAAGAAGGAGATGTTTGAGAAAACTATTATTAGAGTGGGTGAATAAAGCCAAAGCTAAAGACAAAGCCGACAGCCTATATACCAATTATTGAACCTCAATCAACAAAAGATGACAAACCAAAAGGCAACTCAATGCGTGCAAGTCAAACGTAATAAATGAATGGGACAAAGGCTACACGCAGTATGTCTGCAACCCATACCCAATTATCAAGGGTTGGTGGATAATTCCAAACCTGCAGACGAAGTCTACAGGTTGTACATAGCAGTATTAAAACTTGATTGGTGAGAGATACCATTGGAGTCATATCCCCTTTTATAAACTGCAATCACTCACACAACGAAGGCAGAAGAAAAGAGAGGAAGGATACTCTGGAAAAAAGACTATCTCGCAGCAGCCCAAGCTCGGATACAGTTGCACAGAAATCCTAGGAGTACGTATTTGAGTTCGGGGTCAGCAAGAACCACCATTCAAGGGGCTGTTCGTTGTCACAGGCCACGAACAACAGCTGAAACCAGGTCGGAACAGGGGGTTTCGCGAGGGAAGCTAGTCAAACACTTTAAGGTGAGGATGAGTGACTATACTCCTTACAATTGTTGAGCTCGTTTCATAGGTTACCAAAGGTAACTATGTATCGTCTCATGCTTTATTAGTGAATAATAATGCCTAAAAACGAAGAGACTATTATGTATAAGTAATCGGGCCATGACCTACAAGGTTAGGAATAAAAGATGTACAAATGTCGAGGTCAGATGGTGACCTCGGTAGAACCGACCCGAGGTCGGATTTAAAGGAAAGAAAATATATGCTTATGGACTATTGATGATAAATGATTATTGGTACTTAAGAACGAGAGGACTATTGTCCAGGAGCTCAGCATACAAGTTTGGGAGTAGACTATGTATGAATTACGGGGTCGGTTTGAGACCATGTAGGAATCGACCCGAGGTCGGATTACTAGGTATCATACTTGAAGTAGTCTTAAGAGATACCTTAAGGTAGAATTTGTAGGAATCCTAAATCTACATATGGAGTAAGCCTCAAGGGCTACTCAAAATGAATCGAACCTAGTAAAAATGTAATATGACTTGAGCCGAGCTCGAGCAAAGATGTAACACGACTTGAGCCGAGCTCGAGCAACAATGTAGTACGACTTGAGCCGTGCTCGAGCAAGAATGTAAAGCAATATGACTTGAGCCGTGCTCGAGCAAAAGTGCAATGTAATATGACTTGAGCCGTGCTCGAGCAAGGATGTAAAGCAAATGACTTGAGTCGTGCTCGAGCAGAAATGTAAAATGATAGGACTTGAGTCGTGCTCGAGCGAATATAAAATGTAATGAGACAAGAGCCGAGCTCTAGCACTATATAATCAAACAAATGAGCGTGGCTCTAATATAGTAAAGGTAAAGGTCACGGCCAAATCCTAAATGTCACCCCAAGTCGAGGGTTGTAGAAAATGAAGCATAAATCATATTCGTCATAGTTGTCATTGTACTTTCAATGCTTCAAAGTACTGACTTCCCCTTCACGGGGGAGACCACCTCACAGTTTCAGGTAGAACTTGAAGGTTGTTACCATTGCCCGTTGCTTCAGGAAGATCCAGTGAAGAAGACGTGGTTCGTGCTTCTTCCAACTCAGTTTTGAAAACAGTGTGATTAATGCTCATGGATATTATTTTTTGAATAATTATTCACGGGCTTGCATGGTCGGTTAAGCCAAGTGTTGCTCGAACACTTGTATTAATATTTCTGCCGCTTTAATAAATGTTTTACATTATGTTTGTTTATGAATGTATTATGTGTGAATGATTATCCAGACGCCTTGTATAGTATGGATGTGTTAGACCTCGATTGACTATTCATATTGTACGGCGGGTTGTTGACGTGTCTGGGTAGGTCTGAGGCGTGACATCAATGCTTACAGTGGCAGCAAATCCTTCTTCATGCATGTCACTTGGTCAGCACTTCACATCGGAATTAGATTCCGGAAGAGTAGATAATATGGAGTCATATGTAGGTAGTATAATGAAATGTTTAGAATGAATATTTTCAAGAGATATTACCCAAAATGGGACTAAAAAAGTTTGAAAATTCCAAAATAGGACTTTCATGTTTTTATTCCCAAAATAGAACTAATTACTGTCATGTTTTGGCAGTACCAGACTTCAAACATGGCAGCATTTTCTAAATTTGGCAGTAATTAGTCCTATTTTGGGAATAAAAATATGACAGTCCTATTTTGGAATTTTCGAACTTTTTTAGTCCCATTTCGGGAACTTTCCCTATTTTCAAAGAGAATCGACAAACGTGTACCATTCTTTTTCTTTAAAAAATTCGTTTGCTGCCACATGGATTTACATGCTCCTTAACGAAAGAAGGATGGGACAAGATGACTAGCAGAAAGAACTCAAGAAAGAATCGGAAAGGGAAACGGAAAAAAAAAAAGTTAAATACGTACTCCCTCCGTCCCACTTTAAGGTTCCCACACGATTTACGATGTTTGACTGACCATAAAGTTAATTGATCCATGTCATCAGTAGAATCATTTTTAGTAAATAAAATTTACATATTCAGAAACTACATTAAAACCACTACAAAACCTGCAGAAAATAATTTAAATTTCATAAACTTTCGATATATAAAGTAAGAGATTAAGAACAATACACGTTGACCGGAGAATAGTGTACAGTAACCTTTAAATGGGACGGAGGGAGTAGTATATATAACTTTAACCCCGGTTGAGAAGGTTGTTTTCCGGTAAATAGGGCCAAATTGATTGTTTTTATTTAGTTAATGTGTTTAAGTGATGTTTTTATTAGTAGATGGGTCAATGTGATGGTTTTGTGATAATTGAAGGGCCTATTTGACCCTTTTTCCTATAACTGATAAACTAACATATCAGTTAAACTTTTAAGACTGAACTCCAAATTTTAATAATCACACCAAACTACACATAGTAAGGAAATGATAGAGTAATATAAAGTCGTGCCTAGAAAAATAAATAAAATGTGACACTTAAATCAGGTTCCTATAGGTTCTTTGTATCACGATGATCCATTTTATTTAAATAAATCAATGGTTAGTAGGGAGCTAATTGGGTACGTACCTCTATGAAAAGAGTGTTGAGAATGGTGGCGGAAAAGGCAGTGATGTTTGCACTGATGATTTTGATGTCTAAAGACTCAAAAATCTCACAGAGTTTGATCATAGTGTCCCTTGTTTTGGTGCAAGTCAGGCTCACCGCCAATATTTTTTCCCCCATTGATGAGACCCTCAGCTGCCCACGCATGCAATATTAAACAACACAAATCAATGCAAAACAAACGGATGGACACAGTGCGTCGTACGCTCGTATTTGTTCCACATTGAGTAGCTCCATCGCTAGTACACCGGGTGGATCGTTTTTTTAACCAAATGATAATTTTACAAGTTCAAGTTGAAATGAATACAAGTAAATTCGATATATATCTTCAGTGATTTTAGTTATAATTATCGAAGCCCCTCTCTTTTCAAATTTATAATTAATCGGGTCGATCGGTAATACATATAATTAAATATATGTTTTATTATATATAAATATATATAAGGAGCGGATCAATTTTTTTGGCAAATCTTTCTAACCTATTATAGTATATGTTCTGTTAAAGCCAACATCTTTGAACTAAGATGGGATCCGAACCTGTGACCTCCTCTTTGGAAGTGTCACAGTGACGTCATCTGATGAGTCATCAAACCAAATATTTAAGGAGCGGATCACTTAGAAAGTGTGTCTTGAGCTTACAACTCCGAAGTATTTAAAGTAATTAACCATAGTTAAGGATGAAATAGTAGGGGCAAACTTGAACCAAGCATTCCAGTCCAGCTGGTTGTGAGATTATCATTCCTAGTGAGAGGTCTCGAGTTCGAAATCCGCTAGGCACATAAGGATTCGAAACTCAATGGAGTGAGTTTCAGCCCTGATTACTCCAGGGGCCCCCAAGCCTTGGCAGACTTCTTGTTTGAATGTATTGCCTGGGACTTGGTTGAAGAGAAGAGACACGAAGAAAAAGATTGGTGGACCCTGATGACTGATGGATCGTCATCAGGGTCCAAAAGTTGTGGAGGAGGGGTGGTCCTCATCACCCCTGAAGGCTTCAAAACTTATCACGCCATCAAATACAAGTTTAACTTATCCAATAATGAAGCTGAGTACGAGGCCCTGCTGTCAGGCTTCAGGATAGCAACCCACTTCAAAGCACAAAAACTGAGGATTAAAAGCGACTCTAAGTTGGTCATCAAACAGCTTAGAGGGGAATACGAAGCCAAATAAGAACGAATGCAGAAATACAGGGACGCAGCCCTGGAACTTATCAAACAGTTCAAGGAGTCAGATCTAGCATGTGTTCCCCGAGCCCAAAACAGCGAGGCAGATATTCTATCAAAACTAACCAAAGATGCGCCTGAACACCGTATGCGCATAGGCAGGGGAGGATCTATGTTAGGGCTATGGTGGGCTGAAGCCCAGGGCAAAGTAAAAAAAATTATTATTATTAAGGTATTATGTTTAAAAAATTGCATCCAGCCCATCCCAAATTTTTCTATAGCCCAGTTCAATTTCTCAGCCCAGCCCATAATACAAAATCTTAACATCTAAAAATTTAATCTAAATGTTATACACATCACCCTCATACTTACTAATTGGCACTTAGTATATACATATAAGGACTTTATTGACATGTTCACAACAACTTTTAAAGTGCTTGAGTATCTTCAAAAACATTGCCCAAAAGTGAGTTCTTGGGCATAAGTTCGTAGTGTACATAAACACTTTTCATGTTTTGAATTTGTGATCCTTTACTTTCTTTCTTTTTTTTACTCCAAGGGGGTCTGGGGGAAGGGGGCTGGGGGGAGCCTGGAGTAATCAGGGCTGAAACTCACTCCATTGAGTTTCGCACCCTTGTGTGCCTAGCGAATTTCGAACTCGAGACCTCCCACTAGACACGGTAACCTCACAATCAGCTGGGCTGGAATGTTTGGTTATGGAAATAATGAATTCTGTCAAGGTCTTCGAAATTTTTTATTTGATATCTTGTTAGCCATGAGAGACATTTTTCCATTACACAACCGATCATTCTAGAGGAATTGACAAAAAACGGATGGGAAGGCTTTCTTGAAGAAGTAAAGGAGTTTTGCTCAAAACATGAAATTCATGTACCGAAGTTGAATTTTGAATATACGGTTGGTCATTGCAGAAAGAAACTACAGTTGAACATCATTATCACTTTGGTGTTTTCAATGAGGCAATAGACTTTGTATTGATGGAGTTAAGGACCCGATTTAATGATAAATCAGTAAAACTCCTTTCTTTGAGTGCTTCATTGGATCCCAAAAATTTATATGGGTCATCCAATGTCGATGTTATTTGTACTCTTGCAAGGAATTTCTATCCCGAAAATTTTAGTAGTCAGGACATTCATGCTTTGGAATTCGAGCTGCAACACTATGTTCATGATGTATTCATGTACAAAGTTTTAGTATCTACATTTGTTGAATTATGTGAGGAGTTGACTAAGAGCGGAAAATCTGATTCATATGTTATGATGAGTAGATTGATTTTCCTTTTATTGAACTTAGTGTTCTTTTGCAAAATTAGAACGCTCGTTTTATGCCATGAAACTTCTAAAGGCCGCACTCCTCAACAAAATGGATGATGACTTTATACTGAAAAAGACATTACTCTTAGTATAGATGTAGACTCTATTGTTGATTGGTTCGTTTTGTTTCAAAGCCTCGTTGAGAACGAATTTAATGGAGAACTCTTATATTTGATTTTTTGTTTATTTTGAAAATTTTCAATGTATTATTATTTAAGCGTTTCAGCCCAGCCCAACATGAAATCCTGGATCCGCCCATGCGCATAGCCCAATACAAGAGCTGGATAAACCCAGCATCGAGATCACAAAAGACCTGGAGATCTTTCCTGTCGAACAAAGGGGAAAATCTTGGGTTGAATTGATGGAATATAAGGAAGCCGAAACACTGCCTTCAGACGAGGAGAAGGCAAAATTGATCAAGAGATGAGCTCCAAACTATGTCATTGAAAATGGAAAACTTTACAAAAGAAGCTACAATGGCGTGCTACTCAAATGTCTAAGGCCAGAACAGGTGCAACAAGTAATCGAAGAATTACATGAGAGGGCATGCTCATCCCATCAAGGTGTGTTTACCTTAAGTAGAAAAGCTCTTTTGCAAGGATATTTCTGGCCTACAATGATAAGAGATTGCGTGGACTTTACACGAAGATGTGGGGTTTGCCAGAAGTTTCAAACAAACCCCGGCAGACCTGCCACACTGTATCATCCCATCAGCACTGCAATTCCCTTCTCCGGGTGGGGAATAGATCTTGTTGGGCCCTTCCCGCCGGGCTCAGGAGGTCGGAAGTTCGTAATAGTGGCAATTGATTATTTCACAAAGTGGATTGAGGCTGAACCAATGGCCACCATCACTGCGGAACAATGCAAAAGGTTCGTCTGGAGAAATATATTTTACCGATTTGGCGTTCCCATGCAAGTTATTACTGACAATGGGAAGCAGTTTGACTCTGAGCCATTCAAGGACTTCTGCAAACAATGGGGAGTGGAGGCCAGCAGAGCATTTGTTGCTTACCCCCAATGCAATGGACAAGTGGAGAATGCCAACAGAACTATTGTCAACGGCCTCAAAAGGAAGTTGGAGTCAATGGGAACAACTTGGGTAAATGAACTCAATACCATACTTTGGGCGTACCGAACTACCCCAAGGAAAGCTACTGGTGAGACTCCCTTCGCCTTGACTTACGGATTTGAAGCTCGAGCACCCTTAGAAACATTGGTCCCAAGCAAAAGGGTTGAGGATTATGACCCTAAGAATAACAAGGACATGCTTAGAGCAGAGCTACATCTAATCGAGGAAAGGAGGGACAATGCGTTCATCAGAGCTGAAAACTACAGAAGGCAGGTCAAAGAATACCACGATGCGAGAGTCAGACCGAGACTATTTCAGGTCGGAGACCTAGTTCTAAGAAGGAGGTCTGCAAGCAAACCCTTGGAAGGTGGAAAGTTTGCCAAATATTGGGAAGGGTCTTACTAAATCAAAGGGATCATTGGGCCCGGGACTTACAAGTTGAGTACTCCCAAAGGAAAGCTGATAGAAAGAGAGTGTGGAATTCGAAACACTTGATGAAGTTCTACCAGTAGGTTTGTAATCCTGATTTAAAGTTTATTCAATAAAGTTTGTTTTCTTTCACAAATGTCCTTATAAAATTGTGAAGGTTCTTAAACCGCCAATAGGGGGGCTATGCCTAATTTTGGTACTCGCAAAAGTCAAAGTCAAAATTTAAGACTCATCCAATTTCTAGAAGTTCAACTTAGTTTTATCATAAGACGAGAGCGGGAATAAACGACCTTTTTCAAGGTCAAACAGCCTTATAAACAAAATCAAATTTCTTCAAACCGGAAAAGATGGCCTTTTTCAAGGCCAAAACTGATTTACAAAGGCTAAAGGATGAACTAAAGGAATTAACTTTGCACCGGAGAGACCACCAGGCCTCGCCAATTAAAGAGGTTTGTCACTAAGGTCTAAGTTACCTAAGCGAATGAAACCCACCCTATTCTGGTTCAGACAATAAGAACCTAGGGGTTAGAATTGGTAAAGCTCTCCAAATTGGTTCAGAAATTAAGAACCCATGGAAAGCAACCTTGACCGGGAAATCAAGGCCAAAACTATAAGGACAAAAGTGATAAGAAATAAACTTGACAACATGAGACCCAGGTCAGACCTCGAGGTCGTCCCAGGGCTCCCAAATCATGCAATTACCGGGATAAAGGCCAACTTCCAAGAAGGGTCAGTAGAGACAGGAGTCAGCCCCAAAACCCGGGTTGGGCAACTTCGATTGTGCCTAAAGAAGGTCAGGCAAAACAGGTAACTGGCCCCAAAACAAGCAGAATAGAGCAAAAGGCGGTCGCATCATTTATACGAAGAAAGCTAAAGTGCAAAGAAGTGAGATGATTGTTTACAAGCCACCCCTAGAGAGAGAGAAAAAACCTAAAGCCGCCGGAGGAGAATCCTCCCCAAAATAAAAATTCGTCAGGAACTTTCAACGATTTCAAGAATCTTGAATTCATATGTGAGTTTCTAGGAATCTGATTGGGGTGACCGTTCTCGGTCTTCGTGATTCTAGTCAAGAAAAAGAGGAAGACCATCTTCTCCAAATCCAGGCAGAAATCAAGAATAAAAGAAAACAGATCTATCAAAATCAGAGGCAAATCCTAGGCCGTTTTGAACTTCACACTTTGCCTTGGCTCCATCTCCATGCTACTATTGAGCCAACCTTTAACCATGGCATTTGCTCGTTGCCAATATGGAAGGTATAGTGAGTCGATCTTGCTCCTATTGTGGAAGGACTAGCCATACTTACGATGCATGCTTTGCACGTATTGGTTATCCACCCAATTGGAATATTAAAGGCAAAGATGGTAGGCTGCCAGGGACTTTGACTCAAGCTAGAATTGGTGGAGACCCACGTGTCTCACGTGAAGGAGGAAGCCGTGAGGTGCTTACTTTCAACCGCAATAATCCTTCACCTCAAATAGCACATGTGGACAGTAAGCAAGGCAACCAATTGGGAATTTCTGATGAACAACTCCAAAAATTGGCCAGATTTGTAAGGCATGAGCTACAGGACGAAACAAACACACCCTCCTCTTCTAATGTCAAAATAAATATGGCAGGTACACTATCAAAAGGCCGCACCTGGATAATAGACTCTGGAGCAAGTGAACACATTATTTATAGTAATGACGGTCTCATTGACATCCGGACTCATATTCATATACCGTCTGTCAAGATTCCTAACGGTGATTCGGTTCCGGTTCAAGCTATTGGCAGCTTGGATTTATTTAACAGACTCCGCTTACAACAAGTTTTGTATATTCCGGAGTTCCGGTGTAACTTACTTTCAGTTAGCCGCCTTACAAAAGATACCAACTGTACACTCACATTTTTTAATGATTTGTGCACTTTGCAGGACTTACCCTCGAGGAAGCTGATTGGGGTGGGCCGACTCCGTGATGGTTTATACTACCTTGAAATTCCAATAAATGAGAAGGTGGCAATGTCAGTTTCTCTTCATCATGATTTATGGCATCAACGTTTAGGACATGCTTCTGACGGAAAATTAAATTTCATCAGTTCTCTCCAAGGTTTCAGACGGAGCAATAATTTTTGTGACTCATGCATACGAGCCAAACAGACTCGTTTGCCTTTTCCTGTCAGTACCATTAAGACAACTCGTTGCTTTGAATTAATACATTGTGATATTTGGGGCGGCTATAAATGTGATTCCATTTCCGGTGCACGTTACTTCATGACTATAGTTGATGATTTTACAAGGGGTGTTTGGGTTTACTTAATGAAAAATAAATCGGAAGTTCCCCAACTTTTGATTTAATTTTTTAATTTAGTAAAAACCCAATTTGAACAACGGGTTAAACGAGTACGGGCAGATAACGATGTTGAGTTTCAAACCAGTTTTTTATCTGATTACTGTAACCAAAATGGAATTTTGTTGGAAACATCATGCACCGACACACCACAACAAAATGGTGTTGGTGAACGCAAACACAGACACATATTAGAAGCTGCGAGGGCACTTCGCTTCCAAGCTGGATTACCAATTAATTTTTGGGGAGAGTGTATTTTGACAGCCGTCTATATCATTAATAGACTTCCATCTCCCATTATAAAAAATAAGACTCCTTATGAAATGTTATTTGGGAAAATACCAAATTATGATCATTTGCGAGTTTTTGGTTGTCTGGTATATGCTCATAACAATAAACAAAAGGATAAGTTTGGTGAGATGGGGAGTCCTTGCATATTTATCGGATATCCTAATGGGCAAAAAGCGTATCAGATCTTTGATCTTCACAAACAAATCATCTACAGCTCTAGAGACGTAACCTTTTTTTGAAGAAAAATTCCCGTTCAAAATTTCAATCTGTCCGGAAGTTGACTTTGAAGTACTAGTTGATAAGATTTATCAACAAATCACAAATGACGCTCCAGGAAATTTTTTGGTTGATCCATCACATGGCTTCTCTTGTCCTTATTCAGCTAGTAAATACATCCCACCTTCACAAGTGAACAACCGGCGTAGAGAAGTAGACCCCAACTTCAATGACCAGGCCCCACCTCACATCACCAAGTTGCATGGAAACTCCTCCCATGGGCAGCAGCCTAGCGTAAATGAGCTGCAGATCACCATTCATCAGCCACCCATGAAGGACCCACCGTCGGCAAGGGCTGACCAGTCTGCACAGCCAGCCCCTAGCACCGACAACCCAATTTTTGGAGTCTCTCAGCCAACTGGTACTGACGGTACCATGCAGGTCCCGCAAGAAACTACACTTCTTGATGATAAGCAGTCGGCTCCCACCGTCATGCAGCAGCTGTCCTATTTAATTGAGTCTCAATCAGCACCCAATGAGCCCCACCGACGTGCTAGAGTTCGGAAATGCCCTAAGCACCTAGTTGATTATGAAACTGACTTGCCACCCTCTCTTTCTCCATCACGGACCATTGCCAATCATGCTGCCACGAAGGTATATCCAATTTCACAATTCATTAATTATGAAAAAATTTCTAACACTCACCGAGCCTATCTTGCTGCCATCACATCTCGCGATGAGCCTAAACATTTCTCACAATGCAAAAAGAAATTGATGCATTGGAACAAAATAACATTTTGTGGAACAAAATTGATCCATTATTATCCAAAATTTATCATCACCTAAAAAATTAATATGACGAACCTTTTGGGGGAAGAAGGTAATAGTGTAAAGTATGATAAATGCTAGATTCATTTCGGATGTATAAAAATAAATAATAGGAATAAAAAAGCTTGCTATGTTTGTGGTTGTGGACAGGACGTGTGGGGCGGGTAGGTGCAAGCATTACTGACTATTACTGTGGGGGCCATCATGTGTCGTGTTGTGGGCGGGCAGGTGAGGAAGACTGACTGACCTCCAGAAGATGAAGCGGGGATGAGGAGTCACAGGCGGCGGCGGCCCCGTCATCAGCTCCCGGCGGCCGCCTGCTCCTCTTGGAATTGGAGCAGCTCATCAGTCCGGTGGCAGAGGAGGACTCCAGCTCCCATATCTCAGCTTGAATTGCTCTCTCTTGCTCCCGCAACTCCTGGATGTACTGGATTGCGTCTTTGATGATCGATGCTTTGTCCATCTGATGATTATATATATAGTCCATCACAAATACAATTCATACACCAATTAGGCAATTAATTAATTAATTCAGATCCAAATCATTCCGACCTTGCTGATCTTGGGAACGACGGCCCTCAGCGCAAACAGCCTCTCATTCAGCTTTTTTCTTCGGTTCCTCTCCGAAACTATGTTCTTCGATGCAGCCGATCCCTCCGGCGAGCTTGAATCGTAATACGCTCCTGCCGCCGCCGCTGCTGACGGGATGCAGCTGCCATCCTCCAAATACCTGCCCCCCATCAGTAAATACGCACAAATCACTTTACACCACCAATATTAATTAATACAGTAAATCATCAACCTACCTGTCTAACTCCTCCGATTGTAAGAAAGTGTGAGTTTCCCAGTAGTGTTCGTACTCCTCGCCGATCATTTCCATGCCTTCCCCAAACCAATTTACTGCAGCTCAAGTGACACTCCCTTCTATTTCGATGATGATGATGATTCATTCAACTTCCTCGATTCATCCCTTCCCATATCTATACTCCTTCCCATATCTATACTCCTTCCCCTTTTTTCGAGTTTATCGCGCAATGACCAAATACTATCCTCCCTCTCTTTTTAATAGCAACGTATTGAATTTTACACTATTCACATGTTCTACTTTGACTACATTTTATATTATTATTTTATGAAAATTATTGTAAAAAAAATATATTGTTCAATTCATCTCATTACAAATTTTCAAAATCTAATTTTTAAATATTTTTTACTAATAGAGATTAAGATATAATTACGGTCAAAGACGTGCGTTGACAAGTGTGAAATGTTGACCGTTGCAACTAAAAAAGAACGGAGGAAGTATTATTTTGTCATTTTGTTTTACATATTGCAAAGTTATTTTTTTGTTTTTGTCTTGCCATTTACGTGGGTTTTCATTTTAGTCTATCATTCACGATAACCTCTGTTTTACCTCGATTAATAGATTTCATCTAATCCTTGGTCATGTTATTCAAAGAGTATATAATTTTATTTTTTAGAAAGGCGTTTCATATATATTTTTAAAATGTGAATACTTAGTTTTTTATTGTTTTAACTATCATACTAACCTCAAAAAATTATAAAAGGACAAATTTAAATATTTCTAATAGATTTATGTAACTGACAATAACTTTTTTTGTAAGTAGAGTAGTTTCGGAATTAGATATGGACTAAAAACAAAATAGAGCATTTTGCAGGGATGAAACACAAGAAAAATATTTGGCAAGGATCTAAAACAAATTGTGTCATATTTGTAGGGACTAAAAACATACTCCCTCCGTCCCAATATAAAAGGCAACACTTTCCTTTTCGGTCCGTCCCAATATAAAAGGCACATTTCCCTTTTTGGCAAACAAAACAGAGCAAAACAGTGCCAAACAGTGTCAAACAGTGTCCAAACAGTGCCAAACAGTGTCTAAACAGTGTCAAACAGTGTTCAAACAGTGTTCTCCCTTAAAAACTCCCCAAACACAAATGTGCCTTTTATATTGGGACGGAGGGAGTATTTAAGCTTTTTTTATATATACGAGTATAAAAGAGTGGCTTTTTATATTACTATCAAAAAATCGTACAAAACAACTTGCATATAGTTATGTGAGAATCGATCGTAAGCCCATATAAATATACTTAGAATCATTCATCTCAAACAATAAAGTAACTTAATTCACTAGATACAAAATGGACAAATTTAAACCTAAAATAATCAGAGTTGTAATATTGTCTATCAAAATTAATCCAGAAATCAAAATATCCAAACCAAACATACTCGAAACAAAATAAAAATAAGTACTATCAAAGGAAAAATTGAATTGAAATAAAACTCTTTCACAAAATTCTTCCTGACACGGAGGTGGTTTGGGAGGAGGACCGAGGAGGAGCTCTATCATTATCTATGCAACCCAAAAGAAAGATGCTAGAAACCCCTAAGCAGACACAGCTGGTCGAGACAGCAAAATAACTCCCCACATCGAGGGAGACAAAACAACCCGGAGCGACAGTGCTCGGGAAAAATTGTCAAAGCACAGAACAAATACAACCACAAAAGAAGAACAGTTCAGATTGGTCATACCCCTAGTCAGAATCCCCGCTACCTAGAAAAGACATGGAATCCGCTACCTGCTTAGATGCGTCGTCCACTCGTCCATGCTCTTTCAACTTTACATGCATATCTGGAGGCTGGACGATGACTATATTCTTAGAGGCAGGCAAACGGCAGCGGGGCAGCAGGCTGGAATGCAAGAGGCTGGAAGTTGAAAATGTGGCACTGAGATGAGGAGCAGTCGCATAAGGTCTATTAAAAAATGCACGTAGTATAAAAATTAATATGCTACCTAGTATTTATAACTTGAATTCCGCAACACTAAATTAACTTATTCACTTGTAACAAGTTCTCTCTTAGAAATTTTTATAATATATAAATGTTACATGCAGGAGCATACTAACTTAGCTCGTATATTACTCTTTTTTTCGAAAACCACCTGAGTAGGTGTGGTAAATGTCGGGGAACATTTACCTGTTATATTAATTATAAAAAGATGAGGAGTACATGCAAAAACTGGTAGAGGAGGACTTAGGCCTTGCCTCTAAATAAAAAGGGGAAGGCACCTGGCCCAAAAAAGGCCCAAACATCCAAATTTGAAAAAGAAAACACCTTCCGTCCAAAATAATCGAATAAGGTTCTCTGCCAACAGCATCCGGCCAAAAGACCTTTGTCGCATAACCCTAGCTTCGAGATTCTTCTCTGGGGAGAGAATCGGAGTTGTGAGCTGCTATAAGCTTTCGGCCAGTGATGAAACCTTTATCAGCCTGCATCTCTAAACATACCGGCACCTTGTTTATCGTTGAGGAAGGCCTCTTTAGCTTTTGTCGGGAGTGTGTCCACAGAGAAGTGTGTGATAGCAGATGTTCTGAGGCCTGAATGAGCAAGGAAGTGTGAGACAGTGTTGGATTCTCGTGGTCGATGAACAAAAGAGAGACGATGTGTAATACACACCCTTCGCAGTCGTCGTCTGTTGCATGTAAGATGGTGTTTTATGCACACCTTCACACATTTGAATACAGATCGTTGAGTCATTTTAGATTTGGAAATTCTTGTAACCCAATTGTTTGATAATTGTGACTGAGGTATCGATGGAGCATATTTCAGCGTGCAACGGGTTGGTTGCCATAAGAGGGAAAGCAAACGATTCTAGCAACTCACCGCTTGAAAGCCGAAGTACACCACCGCCCGCCGCATGTTCATCCCTGAAGATATTACTCATTTCTAGCTCGTGTATTACTCATTTCTATAAAGATATTGATAGAGTGTATGGGCTCTTAATGGGAAGCTATCAGATATATATATTATTTCTTTCTCGATTAATTATAAAATATTACAAAACTTAATTTGAGATATTCAATTAAAAAATAAAAGCATAATTAAAAGTATACTAAAAAACTAATTTGATATATGAAACTAAAAAAGTTAAAAATAACTCAACACTAAATGAAAAAAAATAAGTAAATGTCATGTTACGCCCTATTTCACACCAATTCAAAAACAATTATATTATTATTGTAAATAAAATGTAAATAAATCTCTCTCTCTCTCTCCCTCTCCCTCTCCCTCTCCCTCTCCCTCTCCCTCTCCCTCTCCCTCTCCCTCTCCCTCTCCCTCTCCCTGTCCGTGTCCGTGTCCGTGTCCGTGTCCGTGTCCGTGTCCGTGTCCGTGTCCGTGTCCGTGTCCGTGTCCGTGTCCGTGTCCGTGTCCGTGTCCGTGTCCGTGTCCGTGTCCGTGTCCGTGTCCGTGTCCGTGTCCGTGTGTGTGTGTGTGTGTGTGTGTGTGTGTGTGTCAATAAAAATAACAAGTGATCTTTTCATGATTTTCATAACTCGTTTTCCTCATTTTTTTCGGGATAAGGCTCAAATTGGACACTATGATTTCATCAGAATCTCATATTAGACACTAAGGTTTCAAATGTACCAAATTAGACACTATAGTTTGATGGACACTAAAGTTTCATAATTCATAGTTTTTGGACACTCACTTATATTGGATAAAGATCAAATTGGACACTCACTTATATTGAATTATGAAACTTTAGTGTCCAATATGAGATACATATGAAATCATAGTGTCTAATTTGGTCCATTTGAAACTTTAGTGTCCAATATGATATTCTGATGAAACCATAGTGTCCAATTTGAGCCTTATCCCTTTTTTTCCTCAAAAACTTCATTTTCAAAGAAAGCAAACTATAACGTAAATCAAGAACATGCCCAACATCTTTTAAAGTGAACATGGAGCAAGAAGAAAATCTAAGACGTACATCACCAATTTCTAACACTTTTCATTTCTTTTTATTAGCCATGGACACATAGTCATTCTCAATTTGCTTATAATTTGAAAAGAGTTTTTTGAAAGGATTTATAAGAAATATATAACCGGAGTCAACTAATCCATCAGATTCACGTAAAGAATTAGAAAGCATGAAGTTAGCACATGCATGATCACACAGTTTATTAACCATAAAAATATCACCCTTTTTTCTTCACAAAAAGCCACATTAGCATTCTCATTATGCTGATTTTTATAAGATTTAGGACAATTCTTAATGAATTCACAAGATTCATGGCCATTGTCTCCACCATATTTAATGGCAGATTTGACGTCGTTATATGAGTCAAGCATGACATTTTACAAAGCAATAGGACTACAATCATCTATGTGTTTATCAGCAGATAATTTATCATAATAGAAAATAGCCCCAAACTATAGTAACAGATCGTTAAATAACTGGTTTGCAATCAGATTAGGCGGGATATAATATTGAACTTTGCCCCCAGTCATAAAAACAGCTTCTCTTACTATAGCATGAGTCACTTGGTTCGTTGGACAACTACCCCAATAAATCTTGAGGTTAACATTCTCACTCAATAAGAATTTAATGTCATAAAAAATAACTGCCTCATAGGAGCCACAATTGTCTCTCCTTGTATGCCCAAAACGACCAATGTTACCTTCGTCTCAATTCAGACTTTTTGCCATCCCATCTCTCGCCCAAATTATCGCTTCTGCTTCCACCGGAGACCATACAGCTTTAGCAACTCGACTATGCGCACAAAGGAAATCCCATTGTTGTCTTTACCAACCCAACCCCAAGCCCACAACATGTGCTGGAACTATTGCCGCATCAACTTCATTTTAATCCAATCCACCTCCGACTTCTGCGATTTTGCATTGGTGTGATTCAGATTACCTCTTTGCGTTCTGCCGCACTGCTCTGGGCTTCTTTCTAGTTATTCAACATGCCAAGAGTTGCACGCTTCACGCCTTGACTTGAGAAAGCCTCCCCTCTCCACACAACCCCATTTCTTATTTTCCTCCTCATCTAATGCTAAAAAAACTTTCTGAAGACATTCCAAAACCGTCTTCCCCACTACTACATGTTGCAGTCCCATCTCCTCCCAAAAACCCATTCGGCATCTTTAAAAAAAGATGAAAGGTCGATTCATCTTCATTTTTACGAAGTGAGCAGTCACATGGGATATGATTTGGACCCTTCTTCGTCTCAGAATATCTGATGTCGGCAACACTCCTGTTGCTAGTTGCCAAAAGAACAACTCAACCTTTGGAGGTAGCTGAAACCTCCATATTGTCGTTCAACCTACCCAGGCGGACCGTAGAAACTCTCCCACAAGTCTCCTATAACAAATTCAAACAATATACTTACAATTTTAATCACCGCACTAGTAATATGTTACCCATCACTTACTTGTCGAACATCAAGTGGAATACTTCGGATTGTAGTAGCTTCTTCTTCTAAAAACGAGCATTTAAATGCAATGTTCCATGTCTTGCCATCCTCCGATAAAATCTCCACTAAACAAATATCCATGACATTTTGGGGCCGATTAGATTGAACCCTCCCTGGACCCATACCTAACAGCCACCGGTCTCTCAGAACTGAGATATACCTTCCATTCCCCACCCTGCATCTAGCCCTTGAAAAAACAACTTCTTGGGTGGATAAAATACTTCGCCAAATGTAAGACGGGTTACCACCTAGATTAGCATTAGCGAAAGCATGACGAGGGAAATACTTTTCTTTTAGCACCCGTCCCACCAGATTGTTAGGCTCATTTAACAACTTCCAACAAATCTTCTCAAGCAAAGCAATATTGAACTCTTTTAATGTTTAAATCCCAACCCACCTTGATTTTTAGGAATACACAAGTCCCTCCAACATTCCCACCTAATTCCTTTAATTTACCCGTGAAATCATTGCCCTTCCACAAGTGCCCATTAATCAGTCTCTTTATCTCCGATACAAGTTCATTTGGGAGTAAAAAACATTCATAACATATGTGGGCATAACCTGTATAACAGTCTTCAATAAGTATTCTCTTTTAGTGGATAACTTAATATTGGAAATAAGTTTTGTGAAAACATCAAGATTTTGTTCAATATGTTTAGACATGTCACGATTAAATTTAAAATGTAGTTCAAGTAAGAACATTCTACTCGGCATAAAGGTTTCGGGGTAAAGGTCTTCAAGTTTATCCCATAAAGATTTATCAGACTCCAAGGTTCTGACTTTTCTAAGCACAAAATCGGAAAAGTTAAAGTAAATTATATAACAAGCACTTCCATTTTTTCTACAATTTTTTTCTTCCATATCAGAAGACAAATAGGTTTCAATAACGACCCTAAATGATTTTTGTTGAATTTAATATACATTAAATTTTTTGCTCCCATATGTTGAAATCAGATTTCCATTAAATGACGCAATACTAGGTCCGGGGCGTGAAAATTTAAGTAGTATTAGAGCCTAAGATTCCCAAACATCCCATTTTTAATCATCATAAGCAAATTTTCAAAAATGCATTTTGAAAACCATGAGAGGAAACCAGCAACAAAAAATATAACTTAAGCTAAAAAGAAATTTAAACATTTATAAGGCTATCAAATAAACTTTCTCACTCAAGAGGAGTGGTCGGGCGTAGTGTTTAGTCTAGGGTTTTCTGGCTTGAATGGTGGCGCAAATCGGTGGCGCTGGATTTCAAGGTGTTCGACGCCATGGTATCATGTTAGGCTAGGCTTGGATCAGAACGCAGGGACTTAGGTAGTAGCAGTTTGGTATTCGTTGGCGTGTTTGCTTCCAAGGATTCGATAAAGGAGAACGAGATGAACAAGAAGCGGGACAAGTTTGATAATCAAGATCAGCCTATGATCATTTGGTCCTGGAGGAAGATGATGGAGTGTTGTTGACCCATCCCTTTGTTAAACTGCCGCCATAGAGCGAACGAGTGGCTAGGGTTTGGAAGACGATGATTCAAGTATGGAGTTGGCCTTCTGTCGATTGCTGCTTATATTTATTTCAAATTTTAATTTTCTTTTGTTAGACAATTTTCTTTGTTTTTGGATTTGTTGTGTTAGTGGCAGTCTTGTGGTGTCTAGTTTAACTAGAGGTATTGAGAAATTTAAGGCCATTAATTTCTCAGAAGCTCTTATATGTTCAGCGAAAAGTTTCGCTCATTTGTGGGATCTTTTCTATGTCTGACTAGGTATTGAGGAGATTCTTTAACTATTTCAGTATTGTGAAGTGGTGAAGAGTATGGTGACCTAAAGGTCAGTAAGAACTTTATGTTACTCATTTGGTGGCCAGTGATTCGCGTTGCTTCTTTGGAGGTGGTCATCTCAGAGTTTGATCGGAGGGTGTTTTTTTAGTCTAGATGGAGTTTTTGGGATGATAGGTAGTGGATTTTATGCTATTGTTTGTTGACTCTTGGTTCGATTATATAATATAGGAAGCAGCTAACACAACAAACGGGGAATAACAATGAGCACAAAGCCTAGGTTCAACCCCCTTGTTCTTCCGTTTAAGCACAAATAATTAAATAATTTTCAGCGACTACCAACACAAAAATAATAACAATATAAAATAAGTCAATTTGACCTACATTAGCGAAACCCTAGAAAAGTGTTTCGACCTAACCCATCCACAAAGGGATTTCGGTATTTTTACTAGAATTTGAAAACTTTGGCCTTGGAGCTTGTTTTTAGAATGTGCATGAGCATTCAATTTTGGTAGGGAGTGGGTCCATCCTTCATTAGCAGTTAGGGATGTCTCCTCTTATCTCACTTTCATTGCAACAGAGAGGAAAAACAAAAATAACACTCCCTTCATCCCTTAAAACTTTTCCAAGTTTGACTGACACGGGATTAATAAAGTAAAAATTGTTTGGTTAAGGTTTGTGTAGAGTTCACTTTTCCAAGAGGAGAGAGAATTAACTAGAACCCCAAATTCTTTACTTAAAATGGAAAGTGACAAAGTTAGTGGGAAAACCAAAAAAGGAAAGTTGGCAAAGTTTTAAAAGACGGGGGGGATATGATTGTTCCCTCTTCTATTTGTTTCAACGACGAGCAGTCGTAGATGGAGAGCGAGAAACAGAAAGCGTACTTCCAGCGATAGGCGGTGACCTCCTATGACGGGTGGTGAACTCCTAGGGCGACCCAGCAACGAACTCTGATGACAAGTGACAGAGCTCCGGCATCAATCTTGACGACGAACGGTGTGTTTGCAGTGGCGAGTTCCTTTGGCGACCTTTCAATGGTACATCTGTCGGTGAACCGGCAACAACAAACGGTTACTTCAGCAGTGACGAAACTTCAGCAGTGACAAAGAATTACGACCCTATTTGGCGGAACTTCCAGCAACTCCAACGGGTGGCAACGAGCTACAAATTCAACGGAGATGACACTCGTAGCTCCGTACCGCTATTGGGAGGTCGATTCCGTCGGTCGGATTATGGCTCGAAGACCCAGAAGTCGATTTTGTCTCTCTCGTGTGCGCACTGAGGTTAAGGGAGCAACAACCCTATCCTACCTTCCCTCACTCACTCTCTAAGCTTCACGAAGGAGGAGGAGGAGGAGGAGGAGGAGGAGAAGGAGGGGGGAGGAGGAGGAGAGGAAGAGGGAGAGGAAGAAGAAGAGAAAGAGAAAGAGAAATTACCCTTTATAGTCCGCCTCAATTCAATGGTAGTACTTCACCAAGTGGTAGATATTTTACAATCTTGGTACCTTCGAGCCCTTAGGAGTCGACAATTTCTAGGTGCTCAGTCCAACCATTGCCGAGATGATGTAAGGGCTTTCAAAGTTTTTGGCCATCATGCGGCCTTCTGTAAGTTAGCTTATAGTCTGGCGTCTGAGGACGTAGTCTCCCACTTTTAATTCTCTAGTTCGAACTTTGGCATCATGATAGTGTTTGATCTGGTGTATGTAATTGAGGTTGATGCACATGCTTTCTTCATTCTTTTCTGCCCCATACTCTTCAACCCACCAAATGAGAAGGCTAACCTCCGTAAATTGGCTTCAATCCGTAGCAAAGTGAGAATGGAGTCTCACTCGTTGCCTTCCTCATAGTGGTTCTATATGCCCAAAGTATATTTGGCAAATCTTCTACTCGTCCTCCGCCCTTGGATGTGACATTGAGCTTTTTTAGGCCTTTGAGGAGGGTTCTATTCACATTCACAACCTAGTTATATACTTGTGGATAGGCCACTAAGGTCGTGCTATGTTTGATCCCCAATTGGAGAGCATGTCTTGGAACTAATGGGTCATCGATAATGATCTAGATGATGATCTATCGAGGTACACCGTACATTGAATCTAGTGAACATGTTCTTGGCGATGAACTTCCTGCAACTAGCCTCGGTATTGCAGGCCAAGGGCTCAGCTTCGATTCACTTGGTAAAATAGTTAATGGCCATAGCGGCAACTACATGTGTCCCTAAGTAACTGGCTGACTAGGTCAAGCACCCAACATGAGAACAAGATTGTCATGCTGACGAGCATATAGTTGATGTCTGGCCATCTTGGTGTCCTCTGTACTATTGACACGCTTCACACTTCCTAGGTTGGCAGTCCTTAGCCAAAAATCCCTGGAGGATTAAATTCCGAGACACAACGAAGAGCACTTGATGAGCCGAGCAGATTACAACATGTACCTCCTCCATTGCCATCAAGGCCTCATCGAGGTGGAGGCAGCGGAGTACTATTCCACTGTAAAAAACTTTTGCACAATAGTATATATAGAAATAAAATAAAAAAACACTGATAAGCTCATTCTGTCCCCATCTTTTCCGTCTGTATTTAAAACTTTCTTGTCACTCCTTGCAAGACGATTCTCGTGGTCGGGTTTTCTTCTCGAATTAACCAACTACATTTCATTCATGAAAAATATGACCGACCAAATGCCAAAACACTTTGTTTAAGCATATACAGAGGGAGCATAATTTACATTGAACTGGTCTTCCACACTAACATTATCTACAATAGTACATCACTATGGTTTCCTATACCTTTATTTACAAAGGCAGTATAGAAGGGATGTCAGGTTATACTAACCTCCAAAGCATGTGTAAATAAAATTATTGGAGTACACAAGGAATCTCATACACGAGTGAAAGAATCTTGCAATTTTTTATGTGGCGTCAAGCTTCCAAATTGACTAACATTCAATATCAACAAGCAAGGGCCTTATCCTTCTTTCCACTTCAATTGTTTGGAAATTAATCTCTTCAAGTATCATAGACCACGCAGATTTGCAAGATTCCTCATCCCGAAATGCTAACGTCCACCTTCCGTCCACTACGGCTTTTCCCCTGCAAAGTTTTGAGGGAAGAGAGTGTTTGCCGCCATCCATACAAGGAAATGAAGATGGACGTATCCGAAGGTGCAACCATTTTGGATGCTTGTCATCCCTTGTGGGCTGAACCAAAATCAAATGAAAAAGGTTAATACCTGTCTTTGCACTATTTTTCACTATATATGACACTGATAAAATAAAAGATTACAAGATCCGTGTTTGATCAAGGTACAACTGTTGGATTTTGACAAGGTGCAACTCTTAAAATTCATAATATCCTACTAAATATTTTTAATTTATTTTATTAACTAAACAAATCAAACTGAACCTGTTTGTTTCTTTTTTATGATAAACGAGCCTTGTTTTATGAAATAAGATCCTTTTCTGGAACACCAAAAAAATCTTACAACGACAACATTACCCCAGTGCCGCAAAGGCTCCCCACCTATGGTGGGGTAAGGGGGATCAGATATACGTAGCTTTACCCCTGTACTAAAGCAGGGAGAGACTGTTTACGAATGACTCATGAAGAAAATCGTGTCGAGAATTAGCACGTAAAAGTGTACCGCATACGCAATTTTATAATATTATAGCAACTACCGCAAAGCTTGAACTACTAATACTTATTATAGGCCTTGGTTGATTTGAGGGGGTGGGAGGAAAGTGGAGTTGTGTGTGTTTAGTTGGAGGAGGTAGGGGGATGGGATAAGAAAATATAGGTGCCATAAACTCTCCAAATTTTGCAAACTGAATATGAACTTTGAAATGCTCACATTGCAACCGGCCAAAGGGGCTACAACTCGCACCAGACCAAAATGAGGTCTCTGCTGTAACTCTTCTGCAAGGATGAGCCAACCAGATATTCCTACATTGATGGCTAAAAAGAAAAAATGACGCTCTTTGCCCCTCTCAAATGCAATTCTACAAGGCACCGAACCCGCTGAAAAAGCAAAAGCAAAGCAAAGTGCCAGAATTCAAAAACCAATTGTTAGGATACAAGTTTAATATTGAGAAACTTCTAATGAGTAACAAACTGGGGGTGAGGGTAAAGGCGTTAAACATATGAACTTAAATAGTAAGACTTCTGAGTAAAGGAGGATGCAATAATCTACCAAAGAATACAAGTTTGGAAATAGTAAGAATATGGAAAGGGTCATATTCCACTTTTGGTGCCTTACTATGATAGTGTTGCCTCTTTCAGCACTCCTTGACTTTTGAAGTGTATTAATTTTTTACCAAAATACCCCTCACAGCAACAAGGGATAAACTTCATCGCGTGAAGTCATTATGAAGTATGAACTGGGAATTTTCAAAAGTCAATGGGCCAGAAAGTGGTTGAACTGAGTAGATAGCCAAAAGAGGCAAGTCAACCATAATTGAGGCACCATGAATTAACGCATTAGTTCAAAGGACCTATAAGATACAGCTAACACTGATAATTACGAAATGTGAAGTTTCAAAAGTCAATGGGCCTGAAAGTGGTTGAACTGAGAGTAGATGGCCAAAAGAGGCAAGTCAACCATAATTGAGGCACCATGAATTTACGCATTAACTCAAAGGACCTATAAGATACAGTCATACAGCAAAACACTGGTAATTACATGCTAAAATTTGAAAATAAAAAACAAACCAAGATTTAGTTCGCTGTTTGGTTTTGCACCCAAACTATTCACTCCAGCAGTTTTTGCACGGGGGCTTCCCAGAACATTATTTGGAGGCTCTATCAAAGGTTGATCAGGCAAAACCTTGCCAATTGAGAATGAACGGAGTTGATGAACAAGTACAAAAACCTGTACAGTAATGAAAGAAGATTACCATTGAAGAAACAATATAGTATGTCTACATTACATCCATACACATAGTATCATCTGGTTGACTATCCTTTCTCAATAAACCTAAGATCATTTAATTTTCTCTTAGGATGGTCCGTTGCAAAATTCCTTTCTCAGAGTTTAGTGTAACGAAATTTAGGCAGTAAAAACTAGCTCTAGAAAACAATTACTAAGCACAACCACCTTCACAGTCTCGCACATTCTTTCACCAGCAGCAATAGATGAATCACTTGAAAACAGATCTGTCACACAAAACAATTCAACAAATTGTTTCCAATTTTGTTTGCATTCATACATTGTGCATGCAAAATTCCTTATTGATGCATTCACATTCTTGTATACCTTCAGAAGCAGATTTCTTTGGCAGCAAAAGCATGGATTTAGGATCTTTCTGAGGTGATGAAGCTTCAATTGCTGCACGCACTATTCTGCTTTTAAAGCCAGACACAGCCTTAGATACATAAAAATATGTGGGCCAAAACAGTACCTCTTTTGCAGTTTCTCCACTCATTACTGATAACCGAAATCAATAGATCAGGCCAAGATCCTCTTGTTTCTTCAAGAATGTGCTGGGTGCAGATACAGTATGAGCCCTTCAGAAACAACAATTCCCCATTGATTTGGTGGGAAAAAATCACGGTTTAGTAATTCTTTTGCAAGAGGGAACCAAAATATACCTCCCAGTATTCAAAAAGCTTTACACATTTCGCAACAAAGAGCAAGCCAAACAAAAAACCATCTATCATCATGTATTAAATTACAATAAAGAATAGGAAGCACCAATAACAATGCAAACTCAAACTACAATAGGATATATAGCACATTCAAAATTTCTTCGATTAGTTTTTTGGTAGAACTAAAAATCAAGCAATTTAAGTAATAAACCATGGTCCGGAGATGCTATAGAATGGGAAAAAATTGTATTTCACTAAACTGCATAATGATGTTCAGCAAGCAGTCAAGTGCATATATATATATATATATATATATAGAGAGAGAGAGGAATGTTCAGGTCCGAACATTCCCTGTCCGAGCACCGTCCGAACATGGACGTTTGGGCCACTTCCCGGTGGAATTTTTTGATGAAATTTTTTGAACATGTTCCTCATCAAGTCTAGTTTGTCCATACCAAATTTCAGCTCAAAATTCGATCGGGAAGGCATTCAAATAATTTTTTGAAGTTGACTGCGTCAAAATATACATATAAAAACGCAGTCAACTTCAAAAAATGATTTGAATATCTTCCCGATCGAATTTTGAGCTGAAATTTGGTATGGACAAACTAGACTTGATGAGGAACATGCTCAAAAAATTTCATCAAAAAATTCCACCGAGAAGAACCCCAAATGAGGATGTTCGGACGGAGGGTCCTGTCCGAACGTTTGGACAGGATCATTCTTGTATATATATATATATATATATATATATATATATATATATATATATATATATAGGTTCAAGTGAGAAAATGATCTTAGGAGAGAAATGAGAATGAATCTGGACCGTTACATTGTATTTTGTGAAATTGAATGTGCATTAAGTGAAACTGAAATGTGCATTAGGTGAAACCGAAATGTGCAGTACAAAAGGTAAGACAAAGTGGTATTATGTGAAGCTGAATTGTGCATTATGGGAAACTGAAATGTGCACTTGATGAAACTGAAATGTGCAGAATAAAAACTACGATGCAGTGACATTTTTGTGCCTTATATTCTGCACATTTCAATGTCACATAATGCACATTTGAGTTTTACTTTTCATTCTGCACATTTCAATTTCACTTAATGCAAATTTCAGTTTTACCAAATGTGTAATTCAATTTTCACATAATACAATCCAACGGTCCAGATTCATTCTCATTTCTCTCCTGGGAGTCCTTTCTCACTGGAACCACTCCATATATATATATATATATATATATATATATATATATATATATATATATAGTTCATAGCCCACAAAAATCCAAATATGAATTTGAACTGAAAGCTAATCTCTACGGCTCCTCTACAATCCGTTGACCATAACAACTCCCTAGTCCCTGAACTTCTTTAAAATGGGTAACATAATTTACATAAGGAAGAAGAAACATATGTACCCGTGAACTGTATGTTGCAGAACATATATACACCCTTCCGGATTTTTCGGAACAATTAAGCACAAACATTGTAATGTTGGAACATATATACCCTTGGACAATATATGATTATATTCTCCATTAAAATAATGCACTTGACTCAATTTTATGTCTGACCCACGCTAGTAGATATTAGATTCACCTATGCTAGACAAGCCTTAATCCAAGTAAGAAACAGCTTTGAATCCTCTTTGAAAGCACAACTTACGTCAAGCAATTTACGGTGATTACTATTAAAATGGGCATCACTTTGAGGAAGGAGTTGGCGCAAAAGCCAACCACCAAGCCATAGTGTTTCTGCAGATATGTTTGACCTGCAGAAAAGACTGACCAATGCATCGAGTACCTAGCAAAAAACACAAGCGCCGTATTAACAATAAGACAAAAAAAAAGCATAAGAAAGATGAAACTGCACAAACTTCAGCTTATGTACGAAGTAATACATACTTGACATTTATTTATGCGAGGAGTTGTTCCAATATTTATGCAAGAACATCCAACTCCACAATGATCCTATTCAATAAATCAAATGGCAGACAATCAGAGTGAATATGTTAGTGGTTAACAGAAAAACTGAACATATATTTGTGAGCAGTTGAGGCCTTCGGGGTATTAAAATACCCACACTTAACAAAAAAATTAACATGATTTACCTTATTTCATATGGATTAACTATTTTTTCCCATGGGTTCAATGATCAAGTTTCAAATAAGAATGTGATCCAGAAAATTTTCCCAACTCAAGACTAACACATAATAGGTCTCCCTGAATATGAATACTAATAATCGTATGACCAAGTAGACATTACTTTAGGAATAAAAACATATTAGTATTTTTTATCTAGGACCAAATATATATTAATTTTAGGAATAAAAACGGTTATTCTAACATAGGAAAAGTAGTTATATATAAGTCATATTTGGGGTAATTGTTCCTTTGTTGTACTAAAGAAAAAATATATGTAATTAAAAATGTACACTTTCACAATTAGCAAAAAAACACTATGAAACTTGTGACTACTGATTACTAAATACTCATTATGAGATGATTAGAAAATCATTAATTGAACTTTATAATGTGCCCATGGCCACACATTAGAAAAACCATATTATTGGTTAGGATAATAAATTTGAAATATGAGATAAATCATATGCTCATGGAGACTCAATTATTAATTAGGATAGTACATCAACAGCACCTTTCCCTTTCCTCTATGGATTATGAACAGGCAGGAATGATTCTGAACAAGGCATAAACATGACAACTTTGATACAAAATTTTCGTGAGATCTAGGTTAACGCGCTATCAGCCTAGATCTAGTCAGAAGGAACAAAATAGAGGTAGAATTAATAGCATTTCAGAACTGTTAGTTAGGAGAGAGATAGAGTTTTGAATTAAGCTTATTATGGAATTAGTCGCTGTCCAGTCTAGTTTAGACCAAGGTAGTCAAAGTCGCAAGGCGCACTCAAGGCGCAAGAGTACTCATATTGCCTAAGGCGCAAAGAAGTGCCCAGCTGACTCATGTCAAGCACAGTACTTAGAAAAATGTATACTATTCGAGAATTACCAAATATGATATATTCAATATCATATTGAACTATTTCCCTAGAGTAATATATTCACCCCCCACCATCAAAATAAACCGTTTTAATATTCCTTAGAAAATCATTTTCCACAACCTTTTTGAGTTTCTAAAAACTCGAGGTTACCTCAGATTTATGTGTGATGGAGTAAAATCAAATATATTTTGTAAAGTGGTCAACAAAAATAACATAGTAACAAAAGTTATCGATACAGGTAATGCGGGATGGACCCCAAACATCAATATAAATTAAGTCAAGAGGATGAGAACTTGTAAGTAAAGATTTAGCAAATGGTAATTTATGACTTTTATTACTGTCACACGAGATGCATAAAGAAATGTCCTTGGTGACATCATGAAATGAAATACCTAGTGAAGAGAGAATTTTTTTTTGCTGGTAGGAAGGGCAGGGTGACATAAATAACAATGCTAGTCATTAAGAGAAAATTTATTAGTAAGATTAACGAATGGGGTTAGAAATGCCAGTACATCAGGTAAATTGAGGCTTCGTCATTATTCATACCCCATAACAAAATTACTCCCGTTTTCCGGCCCTTGACAAAACAAAAAAAAGGGTGAAATTCACTTGGTACATCATTATCACGACATAATTTGGCTACGGAAATTAAATTAGTATGAATGGGAGGGACAGTAAGAGTATCAAGTAGAGAGAGATGAGTCATATTCCCAATTTGTGCAGTTGTGCTATCGCAAGACCTTTACCGTTACCAATAATAAGAGAATTTGTGCATGGTAGTCAAACTCGAGATCCTATGTAGGATCGAAAAGGGACCTAAAGATCGTAAATCATAGGATCGTAACTCAAATCGTAAGATCCTACAATATATATAGAGTAATCTTCCTGTCAAGATTTTCTGACAGGAAGCGTCGTCCGGCCACCTATGTTTGAGTTGGTTCCCGGTGGTACTTTTTTTTGAAATTTTGTGAACATGTTCTGCATGAAATGTAGAGATGTCCATCAAATTTGAGCTAAAAATTCAACCGGGAAGACAGTGAAATGATTTTTGGAAGATAATTGCGCAAAATTTACATATAAAACGCAGTCATTTTCAAAAAATTATGTGACTACCTTCCCGGTTGAATTTTGAGCTGAAATTCGATGGAAATAATCTACACTTCATGAAGAACATGCTAAACAAAATTCATTAAAAAAAAATTCCACCGGGAACCACCTGAAAAGGCGGCAGCCGAACCTCTGGAATACCGGAGGTGAATTTTTCTCTCTATACGTATATATATTTAGAATTAGTTTTGAATCAAATAAAAACCAACCTTAACGGGAATGCAGAAACCACAATGTGATGCACTTTAAGGGTGGTCTATTGCACTTTTTAAACTATGGTCGAACGATGCTAAATTAAACAATGCAGTGACATTTTTGGTAAATAAGTCAATATTTTCAGTCAATGTGAAAAGGTGCAACATAGAAACCCAATAATGCATCATCATATTGGAGAAAAAGCGAACGATTTACGGTTTTTGCACAAAAAATAATTTTTTTTATACGCACTCGTTTAGAACTTAAATATATATATAGAGAGGAATGACCTTGTCCAGCTAGAGGGACAGGATTCTCCATCCGGCCGCCGCCGTTTGGGGCGGTTTCCGGTGGAATTTTTTGATGAAACTTTTTGCGAATGTTCCTCATCAAGTCTAGTTTATCCACACACAAAATCAGCTAAAAAATTCGACCGGGAAGGCAGTAAAATAATTTTTGGAAGTTGACTGCGCGAAATTAATCATATCAAACGCAGTTATTTTCAAAAATTATTTGACTACCTTCCCGATCGAATTTTTATCTGAAATTTTTTGTGGACAACTAGACTTGACAATTCATCAAAAAAATCCATCGGGAACCGCCCCAAACGGTGACGGAAGGATGGAGGATCCTGTCCCTCCGATGGTATTTGTTGTTGAAATTTTATGAGCATGTCTCCTGTGAAGTGTAGAATTATGCCCACCAAATTTCAGTTAAAAATTCAATCGAGAAGGCAGTCAATTAATTTTTTGAAGATAATTGCACCAAAATATACATATAAAACGCAGTTATTTTCAAAAATTTATTTGATTGCGTTCTTGATTGATTTTTTGCTGAAACTTGGTGGACATCATCAACACTTCATGGGGAACATGCTCACTCAATTTCAGCAAAAAATACCACCGAAAACCACCTTAAAAATTAGGTGGGCGGACAGCACTCCTATCTGGCCTAGACGGACGGCACTCCTGTCTGGCCTGATCGAATATTTGTGTCTGTGTGTATATACAATATACATATATATATATATATATATATATATATATATATATACATATATATATATATATATATATATTGTTTTGATTAGATATTGAATATAGCTTACAAATATGTATAGCTTACAAATAGCTTAAAAAATATGTACTTAGAGAACCTAATATATATATATATATATATGTATATATATAGATTTAATTAGATATTGAGTATATAGCTTATAAATATTAAGGAGGAATTTGAGTTTGCACCCCATTTTATAGTCCAAATTGGACTTTGCATCCTGTTTTTTAAAAACTTTGTTTTTACACCCCCCAACCCCGTATGAAAAGACAAAATGCCCCTTGCCCAGGAATATGTTGAAGGCCAACAGAATTGTTAATAGAGGGGTATTTTTTTCTTTTCGTAATAAGTTGGGGTGCAAAAACGAGGTTTTTTAAAAACGGGGTGCAAAGTCCAATTTGGACAATAAAATGGGGGTGCAAACTCAAATTCCCCCAAATATTAATCATATAAACGATAACAATCATATACTAAGATGTTTAGAACTTAATACCAATTACAAAATACTTGATGTACTACGAGCTAAGTAATAATAATAAACTAAAATAAGTTATTAATGTATAAAATAATGATGGACAAAATGTGACACACTAAAACGACGACGACGACGACGACGACGACGACGACGACGACGACGACGACGACGACGACGACGACGACGACGACGACGACGACGACGACGACGACGACGACGACGACGACGACGACGACGACGACGACGACGACGACGACGATGATAATAATAATAATAATAATAATAATAATAATAATAATAATAATAATAATAACAAGGGTAATTTATAGACCTATATTGACCACTAACGGTAAATTAAAATAGTGTGGATTATACATCTAAGAATATAATGATAGTAATAACTAATGTAAATTACAACATCCAAGCCTTAATCCCAAAAGAATTTGGGCTCGGCTAACATGAATCGATCTATAATAACCAATGTAAATAAAATAGAGTAAAATAGCTAGTGGCGTTAAAACAATATCATAAATTAGTAATATAATAACTAATAAGTTTCAATTAGTAATAAGTGTGTGACAATACGTAGTTTCTGGAGGTCGTCTTCACATAACGACGAGACTGAAGAGTAAGGTCGACAAAGGATAACAGAGATTCGCATGTTGTAAAGCAACGCAGCCGTTCACCACAAGTTTTGACTTTTTAGAGTTTCTTTTGCCGACGATTTGTGAAGTCGGAAATTTTTAAAATTTACCAATAAGTGTGTGTTGCTATTGAATCACAAATTCACAATTCAGTGGCGATTCCACGAGTTTGCGACTCGGCAAGGCGATCCCATCAATCCAAGTCATTTTACGATCTTCAGTAGAAACGGGATCGTAGGAAGCACTACAGATCGTATAATCGTACGATCCTACACGCAAATCACAACTTTGACGCGATTGGTTGCTCCAGAATCAAGTAGCCATCCATTTTCATTTGTTCTAGCTGTATTGACTTGAGGAGGAGGCTAAGCTTCTTATTCAAACTGATGCCAACAACTAGCAAGGCGATTTGGTTTGCCACAAATTTTACATATAAAGGCCTGGAATTTTTATTTCCACTTCTCTGGTTGTTTTGAGCCCTCGTGCTATTGTTGCTTCCAGGATTAGTATTTCCACGTCGGGTCAGGTTGTAGGGAATATTGGGTCGTGGGCTCCAGAACTGATTGCTATTCTGGTGTGATGGGACTGATTTTGGGAGTAACTTGTTGGGCCAGGGCCCAATATGGATGCTGAGTTTGTGTTTGAAATAAACTTGATCCCCTGTGAACCGCAAGAGCAACAGAACCGACAGTTCTCACAGCGAACTCTGTTGGTGTGACAACGCCAGAAGAGTTCAGAGATTCTTTCCGCCAGAGTTTATCCTTGAGCCGACAAACAACCCATAGATATATTCGAATCGGTCATCTCCAGAAGCGAGAATCGAGTTCGCAATCGATGCAAATTCTGGGTGGAGCCCCTCCAGAACTTGGAAGACGAAGTCTTCATCGTCTAGTGGTCAGCCAGCTAGAGCGCAAAGATGATGGAGGTATTCTCCCACCCCTTGCGAACCTTGTTGACTATGGCGAAATCTGTCTTTGAGGCTCCGAATCTGGGAAGCTGAGCGGGTACCATATAGTCATTTGAGGGTTTTCCAAACTGCTGCAGAGGTGCGTGCGAAGCCGACCAAAGGTTTGCACGCTGAGCTGAGGGTGGAGACAGGAGCATGTCGGAGGAGACGGTCTTGCCTATTCCACCGGAGACAGCCTTTTAGGTGTCGGAACAGCATCATCAGCGATGTACTGGTCGAGATGATATGAATATAATAACTGATAATTTATTTGTCTTCTATAGAATGACAAGAAAGAATATGAGTGATGCTAGTCATGCAACATTAGTACCTTTAGCTTTTGCAGGTAGCTATTAAGCTCACCACTGAAGCCGCCTTTAATTACATTACTTTGAGGGCAAAAAAGTTGCTCCTCACCAGATTCCTCACCAACCAAAGCTTGCTGCAGTTGCAAAAATGAAACCAGAACAGAAAATATCCTTCAACTTTTGAATAAAAGGGTAGCAAGAATTGCAAAAACATATGCATGAATTTGACATACTCCCTACATTCTTATTTATCTGTCTAGGCTGACCAAAAACAAATAGTTTAAGAAATGTACTGGAGTAATAAAATAATCAAACTTTTAATACTTTACTAAAATTTCCTCACTGAAAGTCTCCTCCCATTAATGTCCACTTGACAAATGGTAATTGAATAGTATAAGGGTAAATGGGAAATTATCTTTTAATGTGCATGATTTTAATACAAGGACAAATAAAAAGAGACAGAGAATATGGTCATTCTAGGCCAGAAGTAGGAATATAGGGAGTATATTATTAGAAATTTGATAACGTGGGTGGATATATCATTATTTTATTGTACATATTACAGTTAAGGTGCATCTGATCTTCAAAGTACAGCAACATCAGTTCAACAAATCATGACCCTACAATAAAGTCTACAAGTCTCTTAACATGGGTCTTGCTCACCCACTTCCTCTCTAGACATGTCAAGAGGTTAATACTTAATACTTGGATTCTCAAGTAATCGCCAAGGTTGAATATATCGGTAGCGTACAAACAATGGTATTTTACTTCTATGAAATATCGAAACCTACCAAAATCAGTATTAATAAAAATACAAGTGTAAAAAAGTACTACCTCCGTCCCATTTATATTGTCTCTTTACGGTTTATGATGTTTGACCGACGATAAAGCAAACAGATCCCTGTCCGCACTCAAATTATTTTTAGGAAGAAAAAAATACATATTCAGAAACTACATTTAAAGCTTTACAAAGTCGCAAAAACCTGAATCAAATTTGATAAATTTTTTATATATAAAGTAAGAAATTAAGAGTGATTTGTGTTGACCAAGTATATAGGAACTGGGACAATATAAATGGGACGGAGGGAGTATTAAATATTTAGAACATAGTTACATAACCATCAAATTTTAGAGCTTATTTTTAAACACCTTAGTTCTTAAAATTTACTACCTCCGTCCCGCTGGAAGGTTCCCATAGCAAAACGGCACGGTTATTTAGGTGATAATTAAATAAAGTACTTCAGGTATATTTTGAGAAATAATTTTTATAGGTATATATTATAATGTGTTAGTATTGATAACTGTGATGTTATAAATGTATTATTTTGAATATTTAATGACTAATTTGTCACTTAAGATTGTTAATTGTTTCCTAAAAGGGAAATGGGAACCTTCTAATGGGACGTCCAAAAAAAGAAAGTGGGAACCTTCTAACGGGACGGAGGGAGTAACATTAGATTATGATAAATAAAAAAAAGACGCCTTGTTTACAAATATATTGAAAGTAAAATATATTATAATCACTCTAAGAGCCCGTTTGGTGACCCTGTTTTTCGGCTTACCATCCAACTTTTTCACCAAACACGTAACTTTTGATTTCGTGCGCTGAATTGTGTAATAATAAGAAAAAGTAAGGTTGGAGTTACTTTTATGGTTGTATTAGATGAAGTTACTGTATAGGATCATTTTAGCTATTTATTCATATAATTTTTATTTATTTTATTAATAAAAATTATTTTAAATATAATTTTTTCATAAATCAGCAAAATCAGCCAAACCAGCCACTTCAGCCACAACTTCATTAATTTCAGCAGAATCAGCCGATTCAGCCAATTTCAGTGTTACCAAACGGGCTCTAAAGGTATATTAAATGGGTTTAGCATCACAATTACTTGATACAAGATAATTGATTGTATTGCATACTCGCTTTTAATAACCTGATACTTTCAAATTACCATAATATTCTCTTTTTATATTCGCATGACACAGCTCGATAGGCTCATATTCTCCGTATTCATCGATGTCAATCAAAGTTCTTGGTATTTTAATTACTTTGTACTTCATTATTGAAGTCGATAATATTTATCCATGTTTCCATAACATTTAAGTGTCGATATCTATCCATTATTTTTGGTACTGCAATCAATGAACAGAAATATCAGTTCAGTCTTCTTTGAATATCGGACACACTGAGAAGTGAAAATATCGATGACCAACTGAACTATTTCAAACATTGATAATCGCCAAGTGATTAGGTCACCTAGTTTTGATAATTCAGGGCTATGTATGTTATTTAATCTGGTTAAACAAAGTTACTTGGTGGGTAATCGGCAGTCTTGGCGACTCAGTGTGTCCTATTAAAAATTAAAATTAAAATTAAAATTGGGACATTATAGGATTACAAAAAAACTCAAGGACTTCAATTTAATCAATCCTATTCTGCACACGGCCTAAGACTGAGCAGCTACCAAATGTCAATTTAACTACTTAGATCTAGCTTTTAGCAAAAGGATGGTAAGATGGTTCATCAGGGGAACCTGCTGGCACTAGCAAACAAAAAGTGTTATGAGATAAGGTACAAATGTATAGATTTACATTATGTGGTCCATTTCGATTTTGGATATTTCTATCAAAGGTAATTCAAGCAGCCACATACCAGCAAGAGTTTCTTTTGTTGTTTCCGTTGTGGAAGAATTCCAAGAGCATCTAACATTACTTCATCCAGTTCTGAAGATGAAAATTATTGTTAAGAACAGGTAGCAGTACTTCAGAAGAAGGCAAGAAGTTCAGTTATACAACCTTTGGTTTGTAATAGAGTGGCCAGCACACTTAAAGAACCTGAAACCTTAGCATCGTCGCCGCAGATGATATAAGAAAGCAAGGCCTCCCTGCAGCAGAGTATCAGCGGATTGTCAGACTCTTAATACATTTGATCAGATACAACGTGACGGTGAAGTTAGGACAAGGAAAGACAATCTGTTAATCTTTTTGGTCACATACTCGTAATAATCAATTCATCACATACAAAATGGACATTTGTGTGCGTGGGTCGCTACAAAAAAGGTAACAAGGTTGAATCCTAAAAACAAACAAAAACTGGAAAATGCCAAATAGCAGTGAACACCTTGGTGTAAAATGGGAGCCACTGCATTCCGGATGCAAGATGCCTTCCAATTGGTTCTGTGAACTAGACAAGTCTTTTACAGAAACCTGTAAAAGTCTTTCTTCAGGTTTCAGCTTTACGTCACCAATATCAGATTCTCTACATTTTTCCATCAAGTTATCACTTGACATGTATCCATTGATATTGGGTTCAGATCTGTGCCAGAAAGTTTTTATGCAGCATAGAAGGGAAGCAGCAATACTATTTGCTAGATCTTTGATCTTAACAATACGTAAAATGCTACAAAGTAAATACAAAGAAGTTGCAGTGCCAATTTCTGCATCCTGTATTAGCCAAACAGAAACATTTAGCATTAGTAATAACCTTAATGATGCATAAATATGCTTCAAACCCCTAAATTAATGAGAAAGCATTAACTACAAGGTAAGAGAAGTAAGTTGAATCTAGTTTTTTACATCAATAGTTTCCGTCCTTAAAGAAGGAAGAACCAACGGAAATATCAAAAACTTCAATATGTTCTCCGTAATCAACCTCCCAATATCTGGGATTCCGGCTGAAATAACATCACTGATGTAGTACAGATTGTCTTCGATCTCATCAACAGATGGATTGGCAGAAGAGATTGCATCTGCACCCAAACTCCTGTGTCAAAAACCATGAGGTGATCTTAGCTCATTAAGTAAATGATAATTTACTGAAGAAACAAACAATCAGAACTTACATAGAGGTATTTGACACAAATCTATTTAAGCTGATGCATTGCGCTCGGAAAAATGTGATCAAACTTGAGAAATAAGTTGCATGAGGTGCACTGGCTACATATCTGTTAACAGCCTCATCACCAACTTTGAACAGAGTACAAGGTTTTAGTTCATGAAAGAAGAAGAATATTTACATTGAATGATGAGCTTATGCTGAGAAAAAAGTATAATAAAAGACAGAAAGTCACCATGATAAACATTCAGTGTTAAAGCACGGACTGCCGTTCGAATCATGCCTTCTTCATGAAATGCAAACCGTATTGCCTCCACATAAAGTGGAAATGAAACTACTTCATCCTATGAGAGCATAAAAATGGAACTGTATTATTCTTTAAAGCCATTAAACCCTTCGGAAATCACTGGGGGTGCAGGGCTGCAGAATAGTTTGAGAGAATAGGTAATTGTAATTTGCATTCATCTACATCAAATGCGTGCTAAACAAAGGTGGAATTCCTTCATAAGTAGCAATGGATGTGCATTAGCTTACACATACTATCTAAGAGGTTATCATGCACAACTAGTCATGCAATGGGTTTGGGTGTTTCTTAAACATGTGCACAATTTCTCTTGCACGGACAGAACTCACAGAATATTTCAGACTAAAAAGTTTATATCAAAGACTTATTTAAGAGCGTGCAAACAAGATGTCATCCAAGTTCGAGAACGGAAGCAAACTAGGGCAAACATAAAGATCAATTTTCGAATCTATAATGAGCACCATAAGAGATATGCAAATAATAATGCTCTATTGGAATTATTCTGGTGTCTGACCGAGTCAAGACCTCCAAGAATTAATTTTTCAAGTGTCTTATAAATCAATATCAGGGTCCCTTATATAGCTACCATAAGACCCCTAATTCTAATAGGACATAATGATAAGAAGAAACTGCCTAAAAGTGGAATAGGAAATAACAATAGTAGTCTGATTAGGAAACTAAGGCGACACTTAGGCGACTAGTCGCACATTATATAAATTTATAATACTACATTACTACGTATATTATATATAATAACAAACATATATATAACTATATATAATATTGTATTTAACTATATTCAATTTGTAACTTATTATATATCATAAGTGCTTCTTAGTATACTGTATTATTCAATTCAATCTAAATATATTAATATTCTAATACTAATAAACTGCAACAAAAAATATGTTTATGAAACACAACAAAGATGAACATACGTATTTATAAAAAGATATGCTATATATGTTAATTTATATAAAAAATATGTAGTATAAGATTCATTTTGTGTCCCACTCCCCACTCCCCACTCCTAAAAAAGCATACACTTGTCCACTTGCAGTATTAGATAAGGTTGTAAGGTACATTAGAAGAAACAGAAAAAAGAAGTAACTAAAGATAAAAAAAATCAGTGAATTAACCCATAGAACCTGGGAGCTCTTTCCGCGAGCTCGACTTCTTTCCGCGAAGTATAGGCTGGACTACGAAGTACACTAAAACGTTGGATGCTCGACTTTCTTTCCACAAGGTGTATTGGACGACGATTGAGTTTACCAAGGGTCAAGTAAGATTCGGGCTTTATTTCCAAAAACTAAATTTGGGCCTTCAGTTTGGACTTCGAATTATTTTGTGACTTCTTGTTTGGCGAACGCTTTGTTGCCAAATCGACGACTGGACGATGACAAGAGGATGCCATGGTCGTCTATTCCTCTTCCGACGAGGTGATGGCTCTTGGCGACGTCTCCCCAGCGACTGGACGCCTAGTCGGCGCCTAGGCGACGCCTAGGAAGCATGGATGGTTGATCGACGATAAAGCAAACGGATCCCTGTCCGCACTCAAATTATTTTTAGGAAAAAAAATTACATATTCAGAAACTACATTAAAAGCTTTACAAAGTCGCAAAAAACAGAATCAAATTTGATAAAAATTTGATATACTATCCTATAAAGTAAGAGAGATTAAGAGTGATTTGTGTTGACCAAGTGAATAGGAACTGGGACAATAATACGTGGACAGAGGGAGTAATATCTTATAATAAAGAAATAATCTTGCGGCTCAAGTTAGCCACTTGTATTCTCCAAGGTTACATGTTTTGCTTGAGCCTCACTTGCACTAATTGTGCCTCTTTCGCTCAATCGGCATCACTAATAGGCAAGACCCCAGAATGCATCCATATCATCACTCCCCCTGTTGACCACGAGCTTGTCCTCAAGCTCGAATGCAGGGTAAGTTGTGCAAAATTCCTCAATACGTTCCGCTGAATATCCTTTCCAATGTACTCATAGCTCCAATTGTCCGCGATTCAAACGGCTGCGGAGGACGTCATCACGTTCCAAAGTCATAGAGTTGTCTTTCAATGGAGGTAGCTGTCCCATAGAATCTGATAGAAATCCCGTGTGTGGCTTCAATAAGGACACATGGAAGACGTGAATACGACTGGCTGGCAGCAAGTGGAGCTGATATGCAGTTTCCCCTATGCGAGCTGTGACTTGAAATGGCCCGTAGACCATAGTACTTCTGTAACAGTTTGTAATAGTGCTGAGACCCAGTTGCAACCTGACGATAGGGGTGCACCCTTAGCCCAACCCAATTGCTGGGCTCCGATGAGATTTTTCAGACTGCAGTTTCATGGAGTTTCATGCATCATGATCAATGAGCTCACACTCCATGCCGTCAAAGCGGGTAGTGCCTGGTGGATGGGAAACAAGCCGCAGGGGACCTCGGTCGTAGACCAACTGAAAGGGAGTGTCCCCTAAATCTGTATGATAAGAATCATAAGATGTATTATAACAATACTCCACTCATGCTAGCCAACGAACCCACTGGCTATGATAGTCACTGGTTAAACAATGGAGACAATCTGATTGTGCGGTTGACGACCTCAACTTGTCCATCAATTTGAGGGTGATAAGCTGATGAAAAGGCAAGCTTTGTCCCTAACAAGCGAAATAGTTTGCACCAAAATGTGCTGACCAAGACTTTGTCACGATCAGACACAATAGATTTTGGAAGACGATGGAGTCGGAAGATTTCGGCAAAGAAAATTGCAGCCACACTATGTAGGCATGGTTCAATGGGATGAAGTGTGCCTTAGGAAGTCCTTCAATGAGCTCCATGGAAATATCAGCCCATACATGTTGAGGAACCGGTAGAGGCTGAAGCAGCCCGGCAGGTTGTAAGTTTTGCCACTTATGTTGGTGCACGTGTGGCAGTCAGGAATGTGTTGGACCAATAAAACTCGCGTCGTAGACGGGGTGCAACGATTTTTGGACTCCTTCATGAACCATATTATGAAATAATGAGAGTAAACTCGGAATGATAGGCGTTGTTGGCAACAAGTATAGTTTACGGTAATACGGAAACAGTTTCTTAGTTCTTTAGTACAGGGGTAAGGCCGTGTACACTCAACCCCCTCACATCACCGTAGGTAGGAGCTTTTGCAGCACTAGACTAATGTTGTTGTTTTATTGATATAAGAGTTTGTGGGCAAAAGAATAGGTACTCCAATACTTCGTAGAACATATCTTAGTGGATGAGTATTATATAATTGTATTAGCTTCTTTGTTATTTAGTGGATGAATATTATATTATTTTATTAGCTTCTATGTTAGTTATACATGTTCTTCTCCGTAGAAGATATCTTAATACATAGTGGAGGGAAATGTTAATACATAGTGCATGTGTATTATTTTATTATGTTGTTTGTTAGTTATACACTTATACACATTGTTATTATCATGTCTGCGGCAAATAAATCAGACCCAGCGTGACGACATAGGGAAGAAATACCCTATTTATGATGGGGGAGGAAATGCTAGCAGTTTACAACCCTATTTGAGAGACTGAATGGCATCACCAAAAAACAAAATGATCGTGATGAGTCTGAAATGTTGTCTTTTCAATGTCCTCTGGTGCCATGCGGACTTGGTGGTAGCCGAAGAGGAGATCCAGCTTAGTGAAGTATCTGGCACCATGTAATTCATCTAAAAGCTCATTAGTTAAGTATCTGCTCAAGTTAGCCACTTTTAGTCTTCAGGGCTACATGTTCTGCTTGGGCCTCAGTCACTGATTATGCCTCTTTGGCCCAATTGGTGTCACTGATAGGCACAACCCTAGAATGCATCCATATCAGAGTAGCCCCCCCCCCCCCCACGCCAACACACACCAACAAACCAGCTCTTATGTACCAAATTTATAAGTGGCACATTACTACATTAGTGCTTCACTAGAAAAACAGTTTACCATGGAGTATGAAGAGATTACATAGGAAGTTGAAAGCTGGTAAAAACTGAACTTACACTTTGCGTCTTGACAAGAAGAGAAATAGTGTTCTTGTTCAACCTTCCACTTATTGCTCTTCGGAATTGACAAATATAATTAAAAAAGATAAATAAGCAACATCATCATTACATAGAAAGAAGATTATTAACACTCGATAGCATTATGAGAAAAGATGTTAATGCACTACACAATTGATTTATATGAAACAAACCTCAGAAATGATATGTAGTAAGACAATAGCTCTTCATTTTGAAAGTCAAAGGAGTAGGATATAAAGTAATTAATGTGCTCATTACAAAAAATATAATCTGCAAAGTTAGAAAAAGTAAATGACATCAGAAGAAAAGTAGAGGAAAAGTAGAAAACAGTATGGTTTCTGAAGAAGCAATTAACTTCATGAAGAAGTGTATGAAAAATGACTCACATATAGACTGTTCCCTTCTTAAGTTTTGGATCATAATACTCATTGTCTGCAGCAACTGTAGCGACACAATAATATTTCTACTAATTTTTAAAATACGTACGAACTCCCCCATGACCTGTCTCTCCATGAAAAACCTAAAGAATATCCAAAAACATATCATGCAAGAACTGTCAACGTTCAGAGTGACCCTTAATGAATAAAAGAATATCTGAATCAGAGGAGAGGATTAAGCTCGTACTCAAAAAAAGCTACATCATGTTGATCACCATATGTTATCAACTCTGCGATTGATCGCAGTGCCTCGATTACAAAATCCTTGATTAGTAAATCAGAAGAACAGATAGAAATTAGGATGGTTAAATGAAAGTAGTATCTAGTAGGTCCGACATAGAAATATAAGAAATAGAACATGTGAATAGTTTAATCACCGTGTTAGCTTCATTAACGATTTGAACTTTCATCAAATGATCAGTAAGGTATCTGCATATGAGAAGGAACACACTGTGAACTGGAGTGTAGACAGCAGAAGGTTATATAAACACATAGATGGATCAATTAAAATTCAGGGAGTACATAATGAATTCAGCCTAACTGGAGAGATCAAGAACATCTCAGAGAGAACTAACTCGTAAATCTTCATCCAGAGATACCTTTAGTCCAGCTCAATCCATTTCACAGCATTGAGTCTTACAACCCCAACCCCACAAGCAAAGTGTGTTGCGATAATGATTCATACACCATTACAACCTTTACCACAATGATGCTGTCAATAGATCAATTTATTTTGTCCCTAGCATTAGCCCAAGTGTTTACGGTTTGTTGTTACTGTCCGGGGTATTAGTAGGCTAAAGACTGATCTGTACAAGATCTGAAGTGTAACAAAGTACAAATTCTCATATGGTTCCTCAGTTAGTGTGAGGATCCAACAGCTTATTCTAGATTACAATCCTTGCTTTAGCACTTCAGAGTAAGAACAAAACTTTTCAGTTTTGGTGAAAAGGAGAACCTGGATGTGTTAGGCCCAATCCCATTATACCACTTACAATTTAGTGAATGCTCCAATTTTGTCTGTAGGCATTTCAAGCTCTGCTTTTTATTTTGTCCAGCTTGTTAAGAGAATCATAAATATACTTTATAACATTTAAAGTGTTGATCAAACCATATCCTGGCAACTACTAAACAAGAAAGATTCCTCAACATCCCCTACAACACATCTCTTCACCAAAATTGAAGCCAGAAATAAGAAATACTCCTAATTCCTAAACATAGATAAGATTTTTTTTAGTATTAGAGTTGGTTATTATCAAAAAGAGAATAGAAATGCATTTCGCATTTTCTGTAGAGTGATATTTCATCAAGAAAATTAGAAGAAAGAGGAAAGGCATTTTTATACAAAATGAGAATGACAAATAGACTACTGGAGAAAGTAAACAAGCTTCACCAAGTGACCAACTGTATATTTCCTCTGATATCCAAGGAAGGAACATACAGTAAAGGTTTACAGACGAATGGGCTTAGTGTCCCTTCCCTTGCAATTGAAATCAGAACTCTAATTAGGTGGCAGCAGGATCACTCTGGCATAAGCCAACTTACCATTCGAACCACATAATTCGCGTCAAGTCACTTCAATCGTGTTAAGAATAAGAGATAGTTTCGACATCCGGATATGAAAATCTAATTTGAAATTGATAAAATAAGTACCTGAACTCGTCCAATGAGAAACGATTTCTGGATCTCCAGAAGGAGGACCACATGGCTTTGTGAGAAGATAGCTCCCCTTCTCAGCCCATAGAGGCGCTTCATTCATTTCATTATCTCCCTCTACTCACAGTAATGGAGAGCAATCGACTCAGCTTTCGGCTCCAATTTCCCTGCTCCCTCGCCCAGGAGAGGTTAGAAAGCTTCTTCGGCTTCACAATGACAGTTCTACAGCGAAGTGTGGTGTGGTTTCAGGAGGCGTGCGGTGCGATAGGATGAGATGCGTTCGGCTATAGACATTCATATGATCATCATCTCCATATCATAAAGGGAAAGGGAGATAGAAGTGGAAAATATTCTTCTTATTCACAAGCCATGCATTGGTCTTAGGGTTTGTTTGGAGGAAGTTGGACCTGCAACATAAATCAAATTTTAAAGTGCATAATAACATCTCAATCAAATTCTTATCTCAAAACAAACGTGCATAGCATTCAAGTTCAAAGTCATAGTTCTCAAATTAGGGTTTTCTCCAAAACAAGTTCCAAAATACAGAGTAATATTTAATATTTAATCTCATGTTCAAAATAATCCAATAAGGGTAGTTCTAACTTCATAATATATATGTAAATATTCACATCAAATTATACATTTAAAAATGGGAAAACTGTCAAATAAGTCCACATACTTTTAACAAAAAGTCAATTGAGTCCATGTACTTTTTGTTGAGTCAATCAAGTCTACAAACTATCAAAAAACGACCAAATAAGATTTTTAATCGGTAGTCAACCGGTTACTCGGTTAACCACCGACGTGGATGTCCCACGTGGCATTTTGTTACTGTTTTTCAATTTTTTTAGTTTTCTTTCTTTTTCCCTTTTTTTCCCTGTTCTCTTTCCTCTTTCTCTTTTTTCCCCCTTTCTTCTTTCTTCCTGGTCCGCACTTCTCCTTCGCAGTCCCTGCTCGATCTTCCATTCTTCATTTCTTTCTGGCCTCACCAATAACCCCAACCACTCCTCCAGTACTCCCGCCGGAACTAATTCCGCCGCTCGGCCTCTCTAGCCACCACCTCCGCCTCTCAGCCTCCATATAGCCCCTTCGGCCATACACCGTCTCCGGCCACCACCTGTGCGGCCTTCCCCTTCCCCTCCTTCGGCCTTCCCCTCCTCAAACTTCCCCTTGAATTGACCTCCAGCCGCGCCGGCTTCCATGGCCGTCGCCCTTACCACCGGACCCACAGCCTCCGGCTTCCACCTCCATGGTCTCTACTCCGCCTCTCTTTCAACGATCTCCAACCACCAGACCTTCTCCATAGATCTGTAATTGCAAGGTGGGAAGAGATGGAGTGCAAACACAAAGGATAAGCGGACCAAGAAGAAAGAGAAAAAAGAGAAAGAAAGGAAGAGAGAAAAAGAAAAACGAAATAGAAAATAGTAAAAATGCCACATTGATGTCCACATAGGCAGTCAACCGGATAACCGGTTGACAACCTTTTAAATTGCTGATTTGGTCATTTTTTTGATAGTACATAGACTTGATTGACTCAACAAAAAGTACATGGACTCAATTGACTTTTTGTTAAAAGTATGTGGACTTATTTGACAGTTTTCCCTTTAAAAATATATAATTTGTCTCAAAACAATCTCCACATTTTCCCAAGTCAAAATGGCAATTTCACACAATTCACAATTTCGACTATAGTAATTAAAATAATTAATTACTCAAAAGTCACCCGTTCCAAAATTCCCAGAAAATCATATCATACTCAAACAAGTCTATCATATCCTAATCACACACAAAATTCCATAGAAAATCTCAAATCATATCTCAAACCCTAATTAATACATAATAGGGGCAAAAAAGTAGTTTTGGTTGCAATAGTCCTTACCTCGAGGCTAGCAACGAATCATAAACGTCAAACCTAGCTTGAGGAGTCACTCACACGTCCCTGTGAATTTATATGGTCGAAGGATCATAATTTAGGAGAAAGAAATCGAGAAAACGGATGAACGATGCGAATTAGGCATCAAAAACGCTTACCGGAAGATTGGATTGTTTGATCTCGTCCTTGGACTCAAAAATTGTGTTGGATATGTTAATATTAAAGTTCGGGAAGAAATAGAGCTTGAAGAGGCGGTTCTAGGGTTTTTGGAATGAGGAAAATCGGATTAGGGATGTATTTATAGTGAATTTCCGAAGTTGGGTCGTATTAGGATAAATTGGGGACGCACGACCGTGCGTGGCTGGCAGTAGCTATTATGCTCAATTTTCATGCCACGCATGCCGTGCGTAACCACCAGACGCCCAAACCTTAGTTTTTGCTCCGTTTCTTCCCCGTTTGCACCTCCCCTTGGTCCGAAACACTAAACCAACCATAGTAAACTATCCCAAGACCATCTAAACGATACAAAACACAATTTTAATTACTTCTCAAATTCTCTCAAATTTTTGGAGGTCTGTTGTCACTACCGAGTGCTTAAGCTTCCATCTTTGCTGTTGACTTTTGGAGTTGACCGTTCGAGTGATTTGATCAGAAAAAAGAAATTTAAAGTACAGAATATCGAAAACCTAATTCAAGAAATAGTTCGAGAAGTAGAGTTCGAGAAGTTCTATCGAGAAGCAGTTTTCGATATTAGATATCGAAAACCCTGCTATCGAGAAGCGAGTTCAAGAAGCAGCTATCGAGAAGTCAGTATCGATAACCTTAGTTCGAGAGCTTAGTTTCGAGAACTTGATTGTCGAGAAGCTGTATCGAGAACCTGCAAATTCGAAAAGCAAGATATCGAGAACTAGATATTGAAAACTAAGTATTGAGAAGTGAAACTCGAGATCGCAGTTCGAGAACTAGTATCGAGAACGTAGTATCGAATTCATGCAAAATAAAAATTCAGTTTTAAACAGTTGAAACAACTTTTCTGTAAAGTCCTTAATCTCGAGATCCATCCTGTGCAATTTTGGCTGTAGAAACCTGCTTACATGTTGAGAACTCTGCTTTTCGACATCATACTATCGAGGACTCTAAAAATGCAAGTTTACTGAAATCGAAAAGTAAGATATACCCTTGGTTCGTTTTTGAAAGACGAATCCAATGGTATAACTTTTACAGTTTATCGACCAGAAAGAGGATTACAAGGATTAAAACAGAGAAATATCGAAAAGTATGAAAACAGAGGTTCTTCGAAAACTTCTTCGCAGCTGATCAAACTCGAGCAGGCTCTGATACTAGTTGTTGCTCCCAAATTTCTGTAGACTAACACACAGCTAGATGATATGCATCGAACAAACAGAGAAGATGAAGATCAGATAATGATATAGCAATATCGAGAACAGAGAACTTCTATCTTTCTATTCATCGAGAAGTTTTTACAGCGTAAGGCTACAGAATAGAATGATCGACCTTTTGACCTGTACACTAACGCGCATATTTATAGGCGTAGTGCAGGCACCTAAAGTGGTAACCTAGGAGTTTGGGCCTAAAGCCTTTTTGGGACTTATTCCCTTACAACCTAATTATTACATATTTATTTATACCATAAATGGTAAACTATACTAATTAATAACAAGACATAAAGACAAATTTGATTCACAATTAAAATAGTCCTAACATGACAAAGTTTTTTGGGACAGTTAAAAAAGGAAATTTGGCCAAATTTTATGGGAAGGAAGGAGTATATCTTAATTTAAATTTTGTTACTCAATATAAATTTCTAAATATATAAACTTTAATAAATATTTAATTATCTACATAAAGAGTTTAACTTTATTTTCAGTTACCCTTAAATCTGCAAAATGCAAATCAATTGGGCAAAAGAAAGTAATATTTTTTTTACATATTTGTATTATATAAAGTAGCAAAGTGGTGATCACTTTTGGCTCCAACTTTGCCGCTCAAAAATAGACATAAATGGAAACAAATTTGCGTGAAAAGAAAGATCATATTTTAGCCTTTGTGAATCATTCGTATATGGAAACAAATTTATGTGGAAAGAAGGATCAAGCCTTAGCCTACAAATCATTTATTTACAGTACAAAGTACTGTAACAGTGCATACGTGGCATGAGAAATAACTCTAATGCGTGCTGTAAGCTAGCCTATAATTCACGTTCAATTTATCACATAATTTATTAACAAAACATTAGAATTTTGATGAGTGCCCTAGATACCAAGTGAGTCCAAGTGAGGTAAAAGTCTGGAGGGGTGGGTGAATCGACTTTTAAATCTTTTCGGTTTTCAATCCCTTTACCTCTAACCGGATATGTTCCAACATCTTTTGAGAGACATTGAAACATGGAACGGAAGTCTTGACCTCAATAGGATGACACTATATAGAAACAAGGGTTATGACCTTTTTAGTTGTGAGACAGAGATGGGTTAAACATGATACAAATGTGTTTGTCAGAAGCAGTTGACTCAAGGAGCAGGCTGCCGAAACCCGAAGGAGATGGCTGTCAGTCAGTTTGGGAGCTGACTGCCGAACCTTAGGAGCAGGTTGCCGAAATGTAGTTTCTGCTTTATTTAGTTAAGGCATATCCAAGAACTATACTCTAACGTATTGACTGGCTTTAGAACTACTCTAACACACAAGTATGAAGGATTTAGACCAATGGAAATAGGTCACTTTGAAGAACAGATAACAAGGAGATGACTCACACTGAACTGGGAAAGTTCACTGGTCAGTTTTAGTGAACAAGTTGTTTTGCTGTGTAGTTGTGAAAGTGAGTGAGTACTTAATATGTGTTAGGAGCAGAATGTAAAGATGACACACAATATATCCTGGTTTAGAGGTGGTGTAATCCTCCTACATCCAGTCCCAACCTATTTCAGATGGATTTCCACTAAATGAATATCTCATTACATTTAGCGCCCCAACCTACCCTTGGCCAGTCGTAGGTTGTGAGGTTTTTCACAAGAAACTTGAACACTGTTCCAAGCTACTCAGTCCTCCCAAGGTTTTTCACTAATGAAATTGACTTGCTAAGAGCTACTCATGTCCTTGCCCTTTTCTCACCTTCTAGATTTGATCACCAAGCCCTCCAGAATGTCTAACAATAGTCTAGAATACATGGGTGTATTGTTAAACTACCAACTAATCTAAGCTCTATAGATTTGTATGAATTGTAGCTAGTCTAAGAGCATTAGACGAGTGGGGTGGCAACCAAAGTGTAGAAGGAAAATCAGCTGGACGGATTTCTTCGTGTAGAGTATGATTTCATTCTATCCGTTAGGCTTCCTTTTCAATGGATACCCGTTAACTCTTTTCATACCTTTTCTTTTTATCTTTTTCTTTTTGTTTTATGGTATGTTTAACTTCTCTTTTTGGCACTCTTTGCTTTTTTATGAGAACTTTGCCACTAATATATGGACCACATTACAAATAAACAACGTAGAACAAAACTAGTAGACTAGTCTAATACAGGAATAAATA